TGTTCACATGATTATAAGGGTTTCCTCTTGGAACTCTGATTTCTTCCCACAGTCCAAAGACCTGTTAATTGGCTTCTGGGGAAAACTGGCCTTGGGTGTGTCTGTCCTGGACCTGACTGGGGTCCTGTCCATGGAGTATCCTGCTTTGCTTGTGCTGCTTGCCAGAAGAAGCTCTGTCTCCCCCACAAACCCAAATTGGATGAAGCAGTTAGAAAGGATGGATGGATTTACTGGTGACTGAACTAAAAAAAGTCCCTAAAACCAGACTTATTTGAAAGTGTTTTTCGAACACGAAAGTAAATCTGCTTAAATTTGGTTCCTGAATATATATGAATTCCTATAGAAGAAACAAACCAAAAACAAACAAACAAAAAGAACCCACATTCAAACTGGCAACAATTACATAGCAAATGACAAGTTTTACAGGTAAAGGGCAAAATCTAAACAACAAATATGGCTGGCCTCAAGGGAAATGGAAAACCCCTGAAAGTTTTTAGGTTCATCAAACCAAAAAAGTCCAAACCATCTGTGCATCAGAGGACTGCCGTGGTAGTTGAGGTTTGAGTAATAAAGACAGCTTGTGGGTTCGTGGGAGGCTGTGTGAAGACAGAAATGAGTGTTGCCCTACAGTCTGATTGTTGATTTAAGGTCATGTTCAACATCACTGCAGGGGTAAGACACAAACAAACAACAAGAAAGAGTATAACACACTAGGCTGATTAACCATGGGGGCTGGGATGACTGCACACTATTTTCCAACAGGGGCCAGATCTGGTTTGTAGGTAATGTATACACTAAAGCCCATTTGATCTTAACAGAGTTTACAGAAATGAAGCGTCTGTGGAATAACTAACATATTTTCGTCCCACGGAAAACCCAGTGATACACGAGCAGCATGAGGCTGTATGATATCCTGCTGGAATGTAGTCACTTCAGGAACTGGCCAACAGGAAGGTCAGCAAGTAAAGAGTCTTGACTTGATCAATGTAGTTGTGCAGCCTTGTCACCTGCATCAATCACTGCAAGTGAAGCTCTGTAGCATCAACTCACTACTCTCCTGACAAGTAAACTTTGACCTGCCCATCAACCCTAGCAAAGTGTTGTGACTTCTGGTTTCCCCGATTGTAGTCTGTCATTGATGGACTACATTTTGACATCTTCCCAGGTTAGATATTACTGGCTGTGAACACCCAAAGATTGGCCAGCACCAGTGTGCTGGCTAGTTTCAGCCTTCAACATACAGTACTGATGGCATGAAGCTATTGTTCTCCTGATAAGTGGAATATTTTGATTATTTTGTTTTGTTCTTTCTGTGTTACTCTTTCTCCACTTCACCAGACTCAGACATTCAATGGTTTAAATCACTTTATCACCTGTGCCTAATTAAGGTACTGTTGAGCTAATTGAGTTTTTATGCAACAGAGTCACTCAGATTTACCATGTCAGCCATGAATAATCAAAAATGAAGTCTAAAACATTTAACATAGAAAATATTAGAAGTATAGAAACATATATGTGTGCTTGTTGTAAAATGATTTCATTATTTATAGCTGGTATATATTAGGGTCAAACACTAATGATTTAGTCAATAAAACTCTACCAGTAATTTTCAGTGACAAGTATTTACTAAAATATTGATGATTTCTTGTTAAAGAATCTAAGGAGACATTGGCTGATCAGATTATAGAGGGTACTCCATGAAATTGTTAATTGGACATCAGGGCAGGCGTTGAATATGAGCAGCAATTAGAGGCTTTGCAGTTGTACCTGTAAAACAGGCCTACTTTACTCACATTTTAAGTTACAGTAATCAGATAAGGGTCTGGTCAACTGCATATCTCATAAAACCCGGAGTGCTGAATTCTGACAGTGATTAGTTTAACACTGCAACTTGTTGTCCTTTATGTGACTGCTGAACTGAAAGCCTTCGGTCTAAGTTATGAAACTCTTGTGTCATATTTTCCTGCAGTACATCGACTTCTGTCTGCACGTCTCCTTGGTGTCATCAGCCTGCAGAACGATTTTAATCAGGTATCTAAAGAGACAGGGGATTTTGAGAAAACCCCTGCTGGGACAAACTTTATTTACTCTTTGTTTCTTGACAATTCCCCCCAACAGGTTGTGAAGAGATCTTCTAATGAAAGCTCAAGAACTGCAGCTCTTTTTGACTGGAAAATCTGCTCTGAATCAGGTCTGAAATCATTACGGTTGATGTCAAATTCTGCAAACTTTGTTTAGAGACCCTTTTCAAATGGCTTCCATTTCTCTGAGAAGATAATTTAAATGTCATTATCCGCATCCAGCTCTCCTCTTTGCATATGGTCCAGGGATTCTCCCTTTTCTACATAGGTCCTGTTTATAACTACACCCTTTTTCTCTCCTGAAGACTCTCCGACTTCTTCCTGAGTCTGTTTTGCCTTCAAGCCATCCCCTCATCAAGAAGTTTCATCTGCCCTCTTTGTTACTCCATGTCCCTGATCTGTTGTAGTTTAACCAGATTCTACAATCTCCTCTTTGCAAGCCTTTTTCCATTTAAGATCCATTTTCCCTTAAAATATAAAAACATGCCACAACTTTCTTCTGTCTGACCTTCCTACATCAGTCTACTTGTAACATTTGTAACCTGTCTCAAATGCTTTAGTTTTTTTTTAGAATAGCAGTTAAGTATAATGTAACATTTGATAGTAACCTCTGGCTTATTAAACTGCAGTTGTGTTATTTGACTATAAAGTCTTAATTTTCAGTTCCTCTACAACAAAACATGACACTTTCTTTCACGACACTATCTTTTTTAGTAAAACAGAGGCAACAGTATTTTAGTTTCCTATCAATGCCTATCAATTATCATCTACTCCTTTCCAGGTCAAAATTGTTTTCTGAAGGGGGTGGATATTTTCCTGCTTCCTGTAGAAACTAGAAAGTATATTCTCAGAATAATTAACCCATCCATCTCTGTTCTGTACCTGACACCTGAGAATACTTGCAGTGTTCTAGCACCACATGAGTGAGTGTAGTTAGTTATCATTAAAAATCCTTGCAAATTATAAAGCTCTATTCAAATCAAAGCAATGCAATATGCAAACACTAAGGTTAAAATGAAAACTCACCCTGCATAGACTGTTTACTAAGAAAATGTGCATACCACATTCGAATCCATTGTGCAAGGCCCTGCTCTCTTTAAAAAGCCTATAAGACTCCATGTTAAGTGTATATAATTGTGTCTATGCAATTGTACATAAGATTCTATGTTAACCAGACTGACATATTATATCAGGGAAAACTGAAGAAAAAATTCAGAAAGGTTGATTAAAGTGCATTTCCCCATTAGTGACATGGTTATATGCATCTCAGATTTCACATTCAGCTGGTGTATTACAGATATAGTTTTTTCTCGGCTTTTCCTGTGCATGTGATCCTCTGGGTGGACTGAATACATTAAATAAACTTGGTTTTTATAGGCCCGGTCACTGAAATAACACGAGAAAGAAAAAGAAACGCAATGTAACTTATTCACTTAAGAGTTTTAACAAAGCAGTGTTTAAGAGGTTTGTAAGCTTTGAATTAGGGCAACAAAGAAAAATCCATACCTGCATTATAGAAGATGGAACCTTATGGAATTCAGAGAAATTATAATTTCTTACACTTGCATAGCGCTTTTCTGGATGCTCCACTCGAAGCGCTTTACAGGTAGTGGAGACTCCTCTCCACCATTATTGTGTGTGCAAAATGCTAACATGAGGGTAATCAACTACCAGATTTGAAAAATCTGCATTGTATGATTGTGGTATGACTACCTCATTAGTTATTGGACTAGTTTATACTTCATACATTTATACAACTAAAAAGCTGGCTCAACCAGTGTCAAATAGCAGAACTTTCTGTCTTTGCATCTTTATGGTTTTCTGAAATTCTGCTTGAAACTGCTGATTCTGAGGCAGTAATCGGAAAATAATTCCTAAAAACGACTCCGTGGACACAGTACAAGAAGATAGACTGTTGTGGAACCCCTTTAATTACCAACATTGACAAAGAAAATTTGTTTTCTCTTTTCTTCATTCATATTGAAATCCTATAAGGCATCCAAGAAGACCAAAAAATGGATTATCCTTGAACTTTCATGTAGTTCTCCCTATGGTTTCTGAACATCTTGTGATAAAACAGGAAAAAAAAACAATTAAACTGGGTGTGGCAGGTATTTTGAAGTATTCTTGATGTCTGAGGTACTTGACGTGAAAGACTATTCTGTGTCCTTCCTAGTTTGGGGGATTTCACAGGTCATTATCTGGATAAATGTGAACACTTGATAAACTTCAATCTTGATAGATGTAATCAAGATAACAAAACCTTCAGTAATAGGGTTACATCTGGGACAAAGATCAATTTGTGAAATTGAGGCAAAAGTGAGGACGTAACCAAGACAATGTTTGGAAGAGACTAATTGGGCAAGAGGATACTAGTAGCTTTGATAGAAGAAATATTGTGAACAATGACATTTTACAGTTGGGAGTCATTCCATCATTTGTAAAATAAGAGCTATAGCACTTATATCTTGTAACAAGCTCTAATACACATGTACAGTATGTAATAAAAAGGATTTCCATAACCATCACAGTACACTAGTGAATTATTCATTAATTTTATTAAACAGATTTAAATGCATTTGCATCTCCAACAGTACTCCAAATTATATATGTATTTTGTGAACCATTTGATTGTTTTCCGTAACACTGCTTTTTACGAGACTTTCCTTCAGCAAATGCAGAACCCTAAACAAAAAAACCTGACAGACTGATACACAGAAGTAGCATTTTTGATTTCTCAGCCATCAGAAAACAAAATAACCGTCTCAAAGTGTTGTACAATAAAACAAAAATCAGCAAAACGGAACACACAAAGAAAAAAAAAGACAGTGGCTCTTTCACAGGTAAAATCAGTGCTCATCTACAGGTCTTAAAGGGACAGATACGCAAGAATAAGATGGGGAAAAAACTCCAGGCAAAAGAGTCACAGAAGAACTATATGTAACAAGTACAAGATAATAAGTGTCTGTGATACTAAACAGAAATAAAAAGAAAAAAAAATCAAATTATTATAGTGGGTTCTATAGTTTTGGGCTCTACCAAAATTTGCTGTCCAAAGACTACTAAGTTTAAAAGACATCTGGATATAAAGGTAAATATCATAAAGGCAGTTTTAAAACACATACAACACAGATGGCATGAGCATTATGTTTAATTTAAGACATAAAATTTCTTATTTTCAAATGAGAATAAGATGCTATTTATTGTCTCTAAACAAACACTGTCCATTAATAATTTATGTGAAGAACTTTATTTATGGTACTTAAGAGTCAGAAGAACAGAGCCTGTACTCAATGGAATCAGTGTATTCAATACCACTGGTCCATGTGGACTCGTTATTCAGTTTAGAACTGTACCTGAAGTCCTTTGCAAACAAACTCTACTAGAGAAACCAAAAAAAAAAACTTTTAAAAATTGTACCTTCCCTTTAAGACATAAGGATTACACATTATGGTGGTTGCATATTAAAGTATTCATATTGCACATCATACAAAAATAAGACATTAAATACTGCTTGCTCTACTGTTTTAAATAAAAAAATGAAAATGTCTTTCAACAAATTTCTCTCGTTCCGCTTCTTACTATCCGGTACAGCCCTGCTGTGTTTCAAGTTCATCCAGTAAAGGCCATTTTATTATAATTCACTTTTTTTATTTAGAAAAGTTTGGCACCAAATCCAAAAACAAAACAAAACAGGGATGAGCTACAAAGTCTTATACCTATGTGGCCTGAACTCTGATACGACTAGTTATTTCTGTTTGTTGCTACTGGTGCACTACACACTCACACATTGCGATTCAGTAGTTGAAGCGTGGACCTCTACATAGCTTGGCAGTTCCACTTTAGTCTGGCTTCTAAGAAAAAATAAAGATAGTCTTCTGCCTTCTCTCTCAGGCTGGCTGCTGTGGGTTCATATTCATGTGGGGAGGGTGGCCAAGAAGTCCAATTCTTTGCTTCTGCTTCCTCTGTTCAGTCATCTGGAAAGATTGACAAGATTGTTTTTTTTTTCATTGCTACAAGCCATTTCCTGTGCTAATACAACACCAGTTCTGACGTCTCAGTAGCACTGCGGCAAACCCGCGGGCTGCAGGCACTTGTTTCCACTATAGGATTATAAGAAGCAGCCTCTTCCAAACCTGTAGTTTCTTGTTCTGAGAAACAAAACTAAGTCAGTTGAGAGACAGAGAGGAGAGGCAGGCCGAGAAGAAATGTTGTATCAGACTTAATACCTTCAATGTCACAACAGTCTTTTTTTCTAGAAAAAAATCCCCTTTGATTTTTTTTTACCAATTCAGAATGTGTCAAGCCAACTATGCGGCCCCCTAAACTCCTGCCTCCCCCCACAAAAAACTTACTGAAGCAAGTTTAAGTTTTCACAGGACCTATCCATTACTGATTTCAAATGTTAGAATTAAAGGGGAACTGCACTGAAGTAGAGGTATCTTGTTTTGTTTTTGGTAAACTTTGTTATTTTGATCAAAATGGCAAAGCTTACCTTAAACAAAACAAAATACTTTAGTTCTTTTGGGCAGTTCAGCAAATACTTGAAATTAGGGACCAGGCCATCTGAATATCGCCTGCATTATGACATTATGTGGCAGGTTATGAGGCTCTGCCTGTACCGAAACCGGTATGTCGAAAACCCTCTTCCTTACTAGAACGCTGGTGTTCTGTGCTAGTGTAGCTTCATGTGACTCCTGCAAACAAGGGTCATGAGGACATCATATTAAAAACAACCTTAAAAAAAAACAAGTTTGCCTAACTAATATGAAAGATATCTGTCAAAGAAGCCTTTAAAGTAGAGCACGGCCTCGGGGACAGCAATACGATCACAAGATCAAAAGGGGCTCTGAGGGGGGAAGAAAAAAAAAAGAATGAACGAGAAACACAGGGAACAGGGGCTAAAATCTCTCCTGCTGAAATGTAGGCCTTCTAAGCCAAAGCTCTGCAAACTAATTTAGGAAATTAGGTTTGAAGTGATGTAACAGATGGAGCAGTCGGTTGTGGGAGTTGTTTTCGAAAGGATTTGCTTGTTTGTGTTCCAGTTGCGTGCGCTGCAGTGTCCGTTAAGACGCAATACGGGCTCCTATTCTCCTGCCCTAGTCGGCTCCTGGGTAGACACCTTCCGTTACTAGGCTACTTCATTTAAAAAAATAAAAACAGTCATTTGTAACTCTTGGACATTATTTGAAAACCGAAACGCTAACACAGAGTGAGGAGAAGTGAACTCCAGCCTGCTTTTGGCTGCTCTAAAATTAGCCATGACCTCAAATTCAAACACTCTTCTCATTTCAGTACATACTTAAAAAAAAACAGGTAGGTAGAAGAATAGAAGGCAAGGGTCCCGAGTGGCTCAAATGGTAAAGTCACATGCTCATGTGTAGCTTGAGGTGTGTGATCAGGGGGGGTCGAGTGGAGGTCACTTGAGGAATACTGGTCACGACTGGCTGAGGCTGGTGAGGGAAGGGGTAGGGATGAGTCAGCCGAGGTTCTCTCGACTCAAGGTGAGATGGTGACCCTCGCAGATTCTGTGGTGCATGAAAGCTGTCAGTATAGTAGGTGGGGAGTATGCCTCTTTGCCAGCAGGTGCTTGGCCTCCACTCCGGAGCTGTGGTGCCCGTGATGCATTAAAAAAAAATGTGTTGATCGAAGGAGTCTTCCTACATTTTCTCTTTCTTCTCCGTGTGCGGTTGCGGTGTTTGTAACTGTGAACTGAGTTGTGAAAAACACAACTGGTGAAACCAAATTGGGTAGGTAATAACACAAACAATGGGAAAATTGTATACGGTGTTACTCGCAACCACTGTAATGTATTCCTTAGAATACCCTTTCCTCAAATGGCAGTAGTAGATTTGATTTTGAGTGAGTTTATTTTTTCTAGCCTTTGTACCGTACACTGGGTTTTGAGACTTGACTAGACAGTGCCACAACCCCCATTTCCTTTTTTGTCTGGACCACAGGTTCAATGTCAAAAATTGGAGTTCCTTATTGAAACTTCTCCTTTCACAGCCTTCCCCAAACTTTACTAATGGTTTTTGCCAAAGGTAAATACCAATAGCATAAACAGCAAAACATCAAAAACACACAACCAAAAAAAACATGTGAGAAAGAGATGTATATTATGAAGCAATACTGGATATTTTGTGTGGAGACAATAAAGGGATTGATGAAACAAGAACAAAGCAAAAATAGAATACCAGCCACAGCTTTTAAAACAAATTTCAGGGCCAGCCTCACAGAAGGCTAATGGCCCAGTTGTTTCCGAGTTGAAATGTGATAAGAACTTCATGTGATACACCACCCTAAATCTGATTTATTTGGAGCAACAACAATTTTTTATCTTTTCTGTGGCAAGACCTAGATGAATAATCAACTAAGAAATGGAATGCCAAATGAGTGCTCAATGCATGTTTTCTGTCATGATCAAACACTTGTTATGCTGAGTTAACTATACAGAATACAAGAATTTTGATCCACCCTGTCTGAACACTGCACTAAACAGCCCAGGCATTAATGAGCAGAGTGTCTTGGGCCTAAGGGAGGTGGGGGTCACCTCTCAAAGATCTTTTAGCAAAGGAGGCTCAAAGCAATAGACAGCAGGCCTAGAAGTGTTACCATTTTAAAGAGTATTATTGAAGGTATCACTCCTGAAACACTGACTAATATGAAAGTGAGCTATTATCAGATCATTGCTTAAAATACAACTTTAGTTTCAGACAGGATATAGAAAGAAATACTCTTAAATGCTTTTCCTTTAAGACTTTTGGAACAGAGACTGTTTAAAGCAAAGTTCTCCATAGATATTCTATATTCTGGTATCCATTTTATTCATTCAGACAGGGATCACATAAGGTCCTAATGGAAAAGTTTGTTTTTGAGCATGCAAGGGGATTCTGTAACAATCTGTAATCTCATTTCATTATAAGTCAGTTGAGGACCTCGTGATTCACTTTCAGTTCAGAGTATTTCTTTGTTCCCAAATTATTTAATCAGAACTTTAAAGGCTCTTCTGAAAGTTTAAAAACATAAACGGGACAAACACTTTCATTTCATCCTGATTACTGCACTACAAGGCTCCCTAGATAAACTGTGAGCATGAGCAGTCTGTCACTCTTCAAGAAAAATGAGCGGCATGACACAAAACAGGAGAAAATACGCTTAAAGTAGGTGGATATAATTACTGGTGATGGCACTGCATTTGGATTAGGAGCAAATACCCCCAAAAAACAACAATGAGACATCAGAAAGAAAAAGAATGTTGAGCTTCTAATATTTAAGGGAGTTAATTACTGTAAAACTTTCTTGATGCAGTATCAACAGCACAACTCAAACAAGTATGTAGGAACAGTGAGTTAGACTGCTTAACTGGACTCAGTAGTTGTGGGATAATAGGACTGACAATGTCTTCACAAGTGCTTGTACTGGTGCATGGCTTTAAAATCTGAGTTCTAGTTCCAATCACCCCTCTGGCCTGTGAATGCCAACTGCTCGCATGCAGTAAAATCATGGAGCAAGGCCAGGCTGGTTGGCTTTTATGTTGGCGGGCTCTCTCGGTGTCCTCTGCTACAAAGAGCGACCTGTAAAAATCTGCCCCACCGTCTCTGTAGCGGTGCAGTGCTGCCACAAGTGACCGAGTCAAAATCCCATTACGGCCCTGTCACAGGGCAAGTGATACTGAGGCACGGCTGTAGTTCGTTTCCCTGTTCCACTTGCCTGTTCTTTGAGTTCCGTCAGCTGGCCCGACAGGTTGGAGACCAGTTTCATGGTCGACTCCAGCTTCTCCTGCAGGTTGCGGATCTCATTCTGCTCCCCCTCGGCGTCGCTGCTGACCAAGGACATGGCGCGCATCCGGGGGAACCAGTCAAGGTTGTGCTCCTGCAAACACACAAGGCACAGTGCAGACTGCCTCAGACATCCCATCCTGCCTCAGGATGGAGCTCATCACATGGCAGCTGGTCCAGTCTGTGGTTCGCAAGCAGCTCTCTTTCCAGTGAGCACTTCAGTAGGTTTTATCAGCAAGCGGTGTAAAGTTTATCCATCTTTGGCTCATGTGAGGATGATGACTGAAGATCTCAGGAATGCACCAGTATATTATTCCTATCACTAAAATAATTTACATTTAAGGTGAAATTATTTACGTTGTTGCTTTGGCTCAAACTAAGATCAATTACTTGACAGAAGTAATTTTCATATATTCAAGACCCTGAATCTTACCAACTTATACATTTGGTTTTCTTCAAGTAAAATGAATTACATTTGCAAGTCTTACTTAGCAAGACTATTGACATGGGATATCCTCAAAATGTATTGGGACAACACCGTTAAAAGTAAGGTTTTGCTTTACAGTTAGGCAAGTTGCATTTTTGGTTATGAAATTAACAGGAAAGATGAGTATAGGTTTTATTTTTGGGTAATTCCATGCATACACTTGATCATATAAGAACAAAAACACACTTTGAGCTCAAGTCATGTCAAGTAACCATAAGACTCAGGACACATTCACTTTCAGTAAACCTTAGGCTGTAAAAAATGTAATTTCTCCCTCAAAGGGATAACAAAATTCATTACTGTATTGGTTGAGTGTTTCCTAAAATCTTGCAGAAAATACACGATTCAGACTATGCCCTTGGGGGGAAATTAATTTTTCAAGTATCTTGGCACATCAGCATTCAGACTCCCATATAATGACTATTAGCACAATTCCTCCAATTTAATTCAGATTACACAGTGGTTAGCATACATTATATTCCTCACTTCTAGGGGCTTCACAGGCTCTAAACCTGGACTCCTGACAGGTTAAAAACTTGTACAAGTTCTCAACCTGCCCACACGCCTACTGAAATGCCAAACTAAATGGGCAGTACAGCCAATTCCGCTCTGAAAGGAAATGCATGTACTTGCTGTATACAGTAATAGACAGATTTCAGACCAGGCTGTTGCATAGTCTGTCCATATAAACTACTTTTTGTATTAGAATAAAAGAACAAAATGACTGGGCATGGTTTTGAAATATAAAGAGAAGAGTGGTAAAACCTTTGGAAAAACATTAAGAAACAAGCACTTAAATGCTGCATGTAGTTTACAAACCACAAACACAAAGGTGAGATGTGAGAATCTTCTGTCTGAATAGAAGCAATAATGCTACTATTGAGCCCATAGTGACTCAGACAATTCAGAGTGAATGGATTTGTGTAGGATTTCTAAAAAATAATAGGAATTGCGTGGGTAATGAATTAATTTAAAAAGAGCAGTCTTTGAATAATTAAATTACACGGGTCTCCATAAAAAGCAGTCACTTAAGAGTGAATACTATTGTTTTTTATGTAACCTGTCTGACTTTTACAGATTTTGATCATTTACTGCACAAGTGCTTGAAAAACAGAAACCCGCAGATTCTCAAACAGCACAGATGTTGAACAATGTGTTCACACAGCAGTAAGGAAGAAAATATGAGCAAGAGCACCTGTAATTGTATACATAGACTGAATAAGCAAAGACATTCTTCCCCAAAATAAAGTTTAACAGGGAAATACAGCACCCTTCAATTCTTGCCACAGAAATAGGAAAAAATGTTTTAACTTAAAGCATGTTCAATTGGGGAAAATGAACATGCTTAATCTCCAAGGTGTTGTAGTGGTGAGCATTGCTACCTCACAGCACTAGAGTCCAGGGTTCAATCCTGACTGTGGTGTTCTATCTGTGTGGAGTTTGTATGTTTCTTTATTCACATGGGCTTCCTCCGGTTGTTTCGGTTTCTAGCCACAGTCTAAAAACAGACTAGTAGGTTAACTGGCATCTAGGAAAACTGGCCCTGGTGTGAGTGTATGCATGTTTGTGTCTGTGTGCCCTAAGATGGACTGGCATCCCATCCAGAGTGTATCCTGCCTTATACCCGTTGCTTGCTGGGATAGGCTTCGGGTCCCCCATGACCCTAAACTGGATGAAGCAGTTAGTGAGCATGGAAGTATGGAAGGACTGTGTTAAGAAAAAAAAAAGTGTTGAAAATGTCAGTGACCATCAGCAGGTGGAACAGGTGTGGGTCATATGAAATTAAATCCCAACAATCAAACCACAGGACTGTCTACACCAGTGAGACGCATGACCATGTTCCCATCAAGCTTACGTCTAGACTAAACCAAAACCCAGGCTCACCTGACTGTGGCACCTTTATAACTTGACAGTTGATGACCAGTGTTTCACAACCAAAAGCCAACAAGTATTGCTCTGAAACCTGGGACAGGAATTAATTGGTGCCTTAGTTAAGTTCCTCCTTAACTATTTCTCCGTTAGGAGCATTTTAATAAGCAGAACAATATCTTTAGGTTTAGACTCTCAACAAAACAATTCAGTATTAGGTTGGGATCAGAGATAACCTAAGAGAAAACAATCTGCCTGTACAGACAATTATTAAAAGCATTTATAATCTAAATTCTCTTTAACATTGTACAAAATAATTCTGATACTGTATATGATTTGTCGAGTATTTATTGTTATTATCTTAAAGTCTGACATATACACAAAGGATTTCTAAAGTATATTTGCGGAAGCTGTGAGGCCATCATCAATGATAGATTTCACCTTTCAAATTTTCATTTTATTCACAAAATCCTGAATTGGCCATTTATTTTCACCTCTGTTAAATGACATGGGACTTTTAAAAACAAAAGGAAATAGTTTCTCCACCCTTATAGATTTCCTTTAGCAGAGTCTTAAAATGCTTTATGGGATGACAGTCCAGCCTTTTTAATACGTAATTTCCACATCCTTCGTCAGGTGACCATTAAAGGGCAATGAAGGCAGAACAAAATAACTAGAAAACATGTTTTAAAAAGCTTAATTGCTTCCAAGCACAAATCTAATAATGTCATGTACTGGAGCTCAAAAAAGCCCGAGTCAAGAGTTAGTCTTTCATCAGAGACATGTGGACAGCACTGTATGTAAACTTTGTGGTGAAGCATTATAGATGTCCTCAACTTCTCCATATGACCAATCCACGGATGAAACACAGCTCCTTCATTAAACAAAACATCTGCAGGCTTAATGAAAACAGGGAAAAAAATTGGTTTATGGCGATTGTTAAGCATGTAACTCCAAAAAATCTGCTGCAGCTTTCAAACGCAGCAGCCACAGGGCTGCCCTGCTACACATTCTTTCTGGTCTCTTCCTCATTCAGCACTAGCCTGCCACATACCAATGTTATTGTGTACTGTCTCAACTCGCCCTCCCACAAGCTTGGGCAGTGCAAGTGGGGGCTGCACAGCCTGCTTGCTTGTTCCCGTCAATGTTCACCGTCTGACTCGCTTTCATCTGGAGGGCACTTGAAACCACAAAAGGAAGCTGGCTCACCACATTTCACAGGCTTTCTGGTTAGGGCCCTTCTAGGTAAAGTGGAGAATGGAAAAGTCCCCACAGCGCAAACAGCACTGCAATCTCAGACACGGGGGAGTGCTGACCAGCCTGCAGATCTGGCCGCAGCGCGAATTTCAATCAAACAGCGGAGTGCGAAGAGAGAAAAAAAAACGGAAGAAGAGGGGAATCACAGAGTTAGCAATGCATCACTACTCATTCTGAGAAGACGCACAAAGTAGCGTTTCTCAGCCTTCCTTCCTGAGACAGACGTGGCAGTTAAATTTACCTTCACTGCCCTCAATCACATTAACCTGGCTTAACCTGTCAGGCCCACTTTTTCCTTTAACAGCTTCCACAAAACTTGTAAGGCTTAATGACTGTAAAACATTAACAAAAAATAAATAAAGTTAACATTGGCAAAAGCACTTACTTTTCTTAAATTAGCGAGTTGTATTGTGACTGATTACCTTCCAAAGGGCAGTAAGACTACCTTGTGAAGAAGGGAGAATTCAAGGCTTTCTTCAAGCTGTTGCCCACATCTTGGCAACAATGCAAATTAATCTCTCACTCATTCCTTGATTCACATCATTAAGTAATAATGGTAAAATACTAAATTAACAATTTGTCAATATCTCAGGCTGTATATACCCTCACATTATGTACTTCATTTGTCACTTCATAGACAAATGGATGTTCCTAACAGTTAACTGCTGTCTTGTTTTATTAGACTGTTTTTTGCCAGGCCAGCTAATGGTTGAGGCAAAGCATTGCTTCTCAGGAGACAAATAGGGTTGAATGTGATAGAGCAAGCGTGTGCAATGCTTTACAAGGTAAAATGGTTCATTGATGGGCTTCACAGTTCTTTGCCAAACAGATTTTTTATAACCCCCTTTGAATTATCTGTTCAGAGAATAATTATTTTCTTTCCTAGGATACTAAAAGACTGAATACTATAGACAATTGTAACATAAGAATGGATATATGGAATGCTTCACAAGCTGAATACATAAAATCCTGTCAGTGTTGCATGTTTTATGTTTCTTAACCTGTGTGTGCTTTGAGATTAAGCAGCATACTATCAACACTGTGCCCACTTGTGTTTCCAGGAACGGAAGAAATAAACACTTGGCACATGAGAGTTCTGGAAAAGAGGATTCCAGGGACTCTCACATAGCTCATCCATTAGAAATCTCCCGCATGAGTGATTACAAACCTGATTCAGCTCATTTCTCAGCTTTGTTCCCGGCATCACCATGTTGAACGCTGTGAGCAGTGTTACAAAATATATCTTAGAGGACATCATCGCTTTGTCTGCCTTGGAAACAGGAGGTAGTCAAAGAGCAACTTGCAATATAAACTGATGTGTTTAAAAGACAACTGCGTTTTCAAATGAATTGTATTAAAAATATCTTGGGACGCCACTTTCTGCACTAGGTTTAGAGACATACTGTCAATTACAAGATCTGGAGCCTTTAATTTCTTAATTCACCCCCACATTGCTAACGCTGTTTACAATTGAAAACATTGCCAGTAAGTCTGATATCACCTCATCACATTCTAGTTCGTCGACTACTACAATTTTATACCAATTCAAGTGGAGTGAAGGAAGTGCATTTTTCGTTTTTAAAACCACAAGGACCAACACACAAAGACAGGATGCTGTGCGGTTTTTCAGCTACAAAACAAGACGCAGCAAGAAGTGGGGTCTAAATGCTGTTTACGGAATCGATAACAAAACTACAACACGAATGCATCTGAATATTAACGCTGATAATATGCAACAGACAAAAAGATCAACCTGTAGGCACAAGTGAATTTGAGCTTCAGCTGTAAAAGCTGTGGTGGAAGCACTTTTGATAGAACCGTATCTGGTTGACCAAGCTAGCAAACCTCACTTGTATCACATCAGTAAAAGAAACGTCGGTTAACACGTTTCACGAGCTGACGGCATTTCATTCAAGTTTGTCATCAATTTTAAACTGACGTTTACAGTTGTCACGTCTTGTTTTACTATGTATGGTAGTTCCTGTTTTTTTTTCTCGCATACATGATGAACTTCACTAGGCTTTCTTTTAGATGTGAGGTTGATAAGCCTGGGAATACAGTTCTGACCAGACCGAAAAAACACTTAGAAAATATTCTAGTGCCGATTCATAGGTTCAGTCTCCCTGGTCAAAACATCTAGTGAAAGAACATTTCCTGTTAAAAAAAAAGTTATTAAAAGCAATATCTGAAGGAAAACAAAAAGCAATCCTTTAAAACGACTGAAACCATTCAGCCACAGCTGACTTTATAAACATCCGCAAAAGATCTTTAAGGCAGAATGGCAAACCATTACTGAAAAGCACATATAGAATAAAATACCACAGTCTTAAAAGTTCAGTTTTGTAGTCCCAGTGTATAACTCAGCATGTCTAAATATTAGAATTATCCTATTTTCTTGTCGAAATTCTGTGGTATAAACAACCTTCTCCATCTTGCCTTCATTGTAAGGATACTGTACATAAGGGCCAAGCCACCAGAAACATTTGCTTCTGTTGCTTTTTCCATGTTGTGTTTAGTGTTCTCCTACAGCAGTATCACCTTCCTCTGTGTCTAGGCTGCTTGTTTTTATGCTGTAAGGCTCTGAACCAACCTATCAAAATGAACGCCTTTCAGGTTTGCCGAGCTCTTTCGCTTCTGTACAAGCAGGGGAGAAAACAGTTAAGCACTTCAACACATGCCAAAGCAGGTCAGTGGGGGCTCACTGTGAGGAAGTCAATGACACGGCAGGAATGCAGGCGGTCTGCTTCACTGAGCGGCTCCCAGACGGGGGCTCCGATGTGCTTCATGGTGTGGGTCGGCTAATCCTCTCTCAGGTGACTACTCACAAGACTCTCAGGCTCCCTCGCATAAATAGCAGGACAAACAGCAAGACTGCAGAAGCACATCAAGCTGAAAGGATTTCAACTCTCCCATATCGGAAGGCCTCATCATTAAAAGACAAAGGAACTGCGGGGAAAAAAAAAAACTATTTTCTATCCACGACCTCTTGACTACTCAAACAACAGATAAGGTGATTGTCATTGCCTTTAATGCTTTCTTCAATCCTGAAATTGAAGATAAAACCCTTCCATAGAATAATGCTTCCAAACAATAAAAGACAAGTGATCAAGTAAATGATGAAAGGTACACTGCTTACACCAATCGCAATACAATGTCAGGTTTCATAACTTTCCAGGTTAAACGCCTTAAAAACGGTTAAATATTCAACAGTGAGTGCGGAGTATGACACCTACATTACATTTCCCACACTGCTCAACAGTCATCAGGAGGCGGCTGGGTTTCTGATCACCAGACTGGTGTGTTTTTGCAGGGGCGGGAAGTTGAGGATGACTAAGAAAATGCAGGACCAGCATTTGGATTATGGATTAACTCTTTCCTTGAGAAGGGGATTCCCAAATCTTAGTATGACCCCTCAGAATACAACACTCAAACATCATGACAGAGAATGCCAAATCTTTAAAAAGTCAATGGTCAGAAAAACAAAGCTGACAAAATGATTGACATCTTGGAGTTTATCTAAGAATCTAGCAGAAATAATGCATTTTAAGATTAAAATAGCTTGATCACAATACAATATTTAGAACCTTTTACTCATTGGCCACATCTTTAATAAAATGCATTGGAAACAAGATATTTTTATTCACAAAAGATGAATCTCATCACAGAATCTTATTGCATTTACGTGTAAAGGGTAAAAGGTGTATTAAACCAGCCTTTACTTGCACTGTAGAAAAAATGAGAATTCTTTCAAGTGGAACATGTCATTTGAAAGCATTAAAGATCTCCATGAATTTACCCTGTAGATTAAATGATATGCAAATAAAACCTTATACCATTTATGTCCATTTCTAACACATTTCCAAGTTTACTTTTCAGGAAACTAACTCGATTCAGTGTTTAAAGCTCAGATAAGGTAGAACTTTGGAAATGTGCGGTCATTCACAACCTCTTCCACCCTGGTATGATGAAATCTGAAGTGGTTCCAGCTATGTCTTGGTCAAAAGGTATGAGTTGTAGAGACCAAAAAAAACACTGAACAAGATAAAATAAAGGAGTGCCTACAGGAAATCCTGAATTATGGGTATTGTAGCGATACACAGTGCATATAATCAGATGTATAATGGGGGTGTTTTCCAAAACCATATAGCTTCAACCAAAATTAAATGCCTCAGTACTGTGTTCTGAGACTACTTTTTTTAATCAGTGGCACGGTCTGACAAAATGTCAGGAGGCAATCTTCTTACTTCAAGCTGATCTTTTGAAAAATGCCCAAATAAAGTTTGTATTTGGTCCCAGCTCTTCAGCCATGCGATTCCTTGTGGTCTTACCTTGATCATTTCTGCTACATAGCTCTCAGGCCCAGTGTACTCTGTGGAGTCCTTCACTCTCACCAGGACTATGAAGAAAAGGTAATGCCACATGTTGTGTTCCTCCTTGATGTGCTCCTCAAATGTCACCGTCTTGTTGTCAAATTTGTCTCGTTCAAGACCTTTTGGTGAAAGATGAAACCACAAGTGGATTAAATGACTTAAAAAAGAATAATGTTTTCACACGTGTGTTCATAACAGGACTTCACATGATAAGATGATGCAGCCTTCCTCCAAACGCTAATAGGAAATGGTAACCACAGAATCCCTAATTCTGCTTGGCTCTTTGAACTTTCATGTTCGGTTTTTGACCAAACCTCACATGTAAAACTCCCTCAAAATGTTGCTGATCATGATCATTTCACAAGGCCCCAACCCCAGAGAAACAGCACATCAACTCATTTGATTATGATTGCCTCTGTAGGGATTTGGAGTCCAACTACATAATCTCATTCTCCCTTTCAGACCTTCAAACAATCATTTAATAACATGATATCTGGGTAAGGACATCTTAGGGCAGAAGCTGAAAGATACTATGCAAGCAGAAGGAAACCAGGCTTCTGAGGTAATAATGACTCATATAAGCCAATAACACACAAAATCTAATGTTCTCTCATACAAAAAGATATATGAGCGATGTTGCCAAATTTGTCCTTTCCCACCTATTAGCATATCCCACTAAGTTAAGACTAAGAAAGACGTGACTTTCAGGATTCCTTCAGATGCCTCCTCAGTTTGCTTTTATGTTCACTCCTGCTTTATTGAGAAAAAACATATGCATTTCTAATATGATATTTTTGTTCTCACCGTCTCAGTCAAGGTCAGCCAGTAGGAAATGACGGCTCTATGCACAACATTTTGGCATTTAGACATTTCATTTTTCTGATGTGGAAATTAATGTGTGCTAATCTTACAAAAAGATGACATCAGTGATGTCTAACAGCAAATAATAATAATCAGTGACTGATGAAAACACAAATAATCTACGTAATTTATAGGAGAAAAGCTCTTAGCAGGACCATCTAAATAGATTAATTATATGCCCCTTATACGCCTGTGAAGTCAAAGTTTGACTTTACAAATGTGAAACCGAATTAGAAATCTCACTTCATGCATGTGATAGGATTTCGAATTCCGCTTTGAGAAATTGAGAGTTAATCCTCACATTGTCATAATTCCTAGCTGTAGCTTGCTCCTGAAACACTATAATGTAGATATCTGTTTCCAGCTAAAGATTAAACATATACTACAGAACCCCCCTTCCTAATCAATCAGTTGTCGGGTTTTGTCAATCTATACATTCAAAAACCTTCATTTAAAAAGAAACAGCCAAATGCTGTATATACTGTGTATGTAGTCTCCAGACTACTCTCAGCTGTGATTTCTCAGCAGTGAGGATAACAACCGAATGGTAACAGGAAGAACTCCTCCAACACAATGGTGACTAACCATTCCAGGAAGAGGGGGTGGTTTGGTCCCTGGCTATCGCCAACGAGGCTAATATTAACTCTTGAAAAAATTAACTTTCTGTTGCAAGCCAGCTGCACAATATGCTGCAACAGTGCTTTGTCGTGCAACTGGACATATGGTACTTCTCCATGTTCATCCATCATTTTGGTTGCCTGCAGTCATTTGCTTCAGAACAATGTAACAGAAGCATGTCTCTTTGTAATGTGCACTAAAGCTAGTTTGTAAAACTAAATGCAATCATTTCATTTTCCAACATTTGTGAAGCTAGGCATTTTTTTAACTCAAATTCACTGGATCGCACAGCTACTATATGTGAAAACCTGAACTTCCACCCATCCACCGATTCATTTTGAAACAGATTTTTCCAGTTCACGTTCGTGGGAGGAGCTGGAGTCTATCTGGAGTCTAACAGGTACAAGGCAGGGTACAACCTGGTCTGTGAGACCGACACAGTCATGCACATTCTCACACCAGGGCCAGTTTTCCCAATCAGCCAATTAACAGTATATTTTTAGACTGTGGGAGGAAACTGGAGCACCTAGAGAAAAAAACATGTAAACCCAGGGAGAACATGCAAACTCCACCCAGACAGCCCAGGTCTAGAACAAAATCCACAGATTTACCCTTGTTTAGTGAGGATGTTTTCTGTGATCTAAAACCGAAACACAGGACCACATTAGTGTGACAATAACGCCAGTGTTTATTCAAAACCTTACCACAAATAAAGCAGGTTGTCTTCAGGACTTCCTCCTTTTTCTGTTTCTCACTCCTGAGATCGGCGAAGGTGTCAATGATGACTCCAAAGATCAGGTTGAGGACAATGATAATGACCATGAAGAAGAACAGGAGGTCATAGATCACACGGGCAGCAAAGAGAGGCTCCTGCCAAGGTAAAATCGAGCATAAGAGACCTGGGAACAGCATGCCACAGACACCGTACTATCACTATTGGGAGATAGACAGCCTGTCAGAGAAACTCTACTATTGTCTAAGCAGTAGTTCTTGAAATGCTAATAGTGCCAAAATTCAAGTTTCAAACAAATTGAATTTAAATTGCAAAAGCAGGCTGTACTTGGATATGATAAACAAGGGTGTTGCTTCATTTTTGAGGTCCTCCACAACATGCAACACATGTGACATCTCTCTTATGAGGGCATGTTGCATACAAGCTGATTAACAGACCTATTTGTTTTTTACACAGTAACAAACGTTTTCCCAACAGTTGCCATTCTTGCACTCACAGCTATAACACTAACGTTTTGTATTAAGTAACAAGGTTACACAAAATACGTAATTCCCATGGTTGATAAAGCATTGGCAACGGAGATATTTACACCTAGAAAGCAAAAGGAATAGCCATTGTTTCTGAACATGCTTCTCAAGATGTAAAAACAACCCTGAAAAAAAAAACTATTTCTTGACATGACGATTATTCTAAGACAATTTCAAACCCAGCAGTCTTATATTACATTTTTGAATATTTTTGAAAAACAGAAATGTTGGGAGGAATTTCTTTTTATAGTCCTTATATATCCATATTTCCTAAGTGAGTAATAATGGGTTCTTAAATGAAAGTATTTTTCAGAGGTTTGCAAACTTTTGTCATTTCAACTTAAATCTTTTTTCAAATTCAAACGTAAGATATCATTGAAACCATACCCCCATTGCAGAAGCAAATTCATTGTATTTTGTTTTTTCAACCTTCAAGAGACCAGTTTCACAACACATAAATCAGGACGTTTTTCCATTTAACAAGTAAGGACAGACAAAGGATACTATTGCTAAATCAGTCCATGGGGGAAAGGAGCTCAAAGCCCCATGTGTTAATATTCAATTCTCTTTAAGGACAAGTATGCACCAAAACAGGCCTTGCATCACTTAAAATTCAAGACTCGCTGAAAAGAAACCAGCTTCTTAGAAAAAGAAAGGTTTCACATTTCTTTGGTAAACCATATTGACATCTCTGTGCTGAATTCAACATTTACTGATTTGCATTAAAAGCACCAACTACAGTAAAGGCTGCCTTTTTGTGATTTCCCCACTAGCAGAATTCAGTAACAATGGAAATCTCAAGCAACATCTGAAAAGGTACTTTTTTCAACCTGCAAAAACATTTATGCAACACGACAGCCGATTATTTTTTTATTGGAAATTCTTCAATGTTTTTTTTTCAGAGCTTATGACATTTTTGTGCATGACTCGGTCAGTTTTGGCAATGCGTTCTGCATCGGCGCTGTTAATCTTGAAACGGTTTTAAAATGTAGTGAACTGGGGCACAACTCTTACATCGGCCGACAAGATGAAATAAAAGAGCAGAAGCCTGCAAATTGCACGAACAATATCACATTTCATTAAGGTCAAAAGAACGAAGAGCAAACAAAACAAAACCTGAGATTAACGTTGGTGGCTTACTCAATGGCTTTTCTAGGCTCTACACTCAAAGATGTGGGGTTAACAGGCCAAAAGTGAAGTGAGTTGGACAGTCAGCTCAAATTTTGGTGCTGGAATATCCAAAACAGCAGAAATCATAAATAAGAAGTCTTGACTGAAATGGTTCACTCCAAAGACCAACTGATTCATCAGGCCAGGACTTACGTTCACCGGAAGATCTCCAATATATGTTCTCCCTGTCACCCATCACAGACCATCATATTTGACAGCCCCGCAACCTGGTGGCACTAAAAAGACTCCAAATTCTTTTAAAACAACGAAAGGGAAATTGTTCCCTCCAATACCTCCTTGGATGGCTTGCGGAGCACGTCCCCCACACCGCCCCCACTCCTCAGCCCGTGGCTCAGCACAGTGACGATGCACATCAGCAAGGACTCGCAGGTCCGCTCCTTATCTTCGAACACAGTCGACTCTGTACTGTGAGCTGAACAAACAACCATCCAAAATGACATTAATAACATGATTTTATGAGAACTTGAGTTCTAGGTGTTACGCATTGTTCACAAGGTAACATTTATATACTGTAAATATAGTATGTGTGCAAAAAGTTACAGACACATGCGCATATGTAAAGTGACAAATCACTGGCTAGAGTGAAAGTGATGGCCAACTGACTTCTACCCAGGGTTCACTTTTCAGTTCATCTGTAGGACATTCAGAGTCTAGGAGAGCATGACAAATTAGAGCCCTCTGCTTTTTATTCTTTTGAAGCTGTGCATAGTGCTGGTGTGCCGATTAATGCCATCTGACTTTGCTTTGGGGAAAGAGATCTTGGTAAAAAAAAAGAGCTTGTTAAACCTGGAAAGATGCTTTGATGAAGCAAAGATGATTTTATTTTCTGAGGTGAGACACCTAGGTAAATAGACATCCAAAGCTTTATAGAGGAGAATCTTTGTCAGAGTTTAGACGAGACTCCAAAAAGAATAAGAGTTTTATTTGGCCTTTTTTCCCCCTCTATTGAGTAAATTATATAGTCCTTCACTCTTTTAAATGAAACTACTTAATGATGGCAGCATTCCTACATGAGAGATATACTGTAAATATACATATTCCATACATTTTTACATATACTTTATACATACAGTACAAACACACACTTGCATTCTGCACAAATAAAAGTAATAAAGTATTTAGTGGAACAGAGAACTATACATGCCAAATAAAAACTAGAGGACTTTCAAAACTCACAAATTTGTTACATTTGAAAATTATTTACCTTTGTCTGTCAGGTAAGGCAAATCACATAATTGTATAATTTAACCAAGAACTATACTTCTGAAGCCCATAGATTAGTATCTCCTACAGCACTCGTAAAGACATTCTGAATTCATGAACAGCAACTATTTAAGAACAAATATATCAGAGTAATAGTTAAAAAAAATAAGTGTTGGCTTCGAAAGATCACCGAGGATAGAGAGTTTTGACTGCTTGGCTAAACACTTGAAGCTACTTGGTTTTTGACAGTTTGGGGTTATTTTTTGGGGTTTTGCACAGCTAGTTGGAAAATTTGAGTCAGCCCGACCTGAACTTTAATCCCGTCTCTGAAGAGGTGAAAAGCTGGCGCCAAATGGCATTAACCTTCTGGCTTAATTCTGCTGGTTCACCCACAAGGTCCGCTGTGGTAGTTTCTTTTCTGACTGGGAAACCTGATTTTTTAAAATCTTGTGCTTCCCTAATTATATCTGATCTCATGACAGCCATGTTTATGGATTAAGAGCTCAGAATCTTAAAGATGAAAAAGTCAGGAAACTACACATATATAAGCAGCTATCAAGTTGTAAAAGAATCAGAAATGACCAGTATTAAAAAAAAAATACTGTAATACATTTCCAACAGAAAAGATTACAGAAGAAACTGTTGTTCACGAAGTGCAAACATTAGCGCAAGAGGAACAAAAATCGAGATACTTCTGTTCGTATGAAAGCCAAGCACAGGTTCTTACCTTCGATAGGCTGAGCTGAACAGTTTTCACCACTGTCTGCCCGACAGACTCCTGAAGACAGAAACTCCCCTGCCATACTGGATCCACTTTCTGTAAATTAGCAATACAGATCTGTCAGAGTCTGAGGATCACCTTTTAAATGCTCAAACAGAAATTAAACCTGCAAAGAAACTGTTTGCAAGCATGTTATAGGTGGAAGTACGTTACCTGGATTCAATCTTTTAAGTAGCTACAATACTAGTTGAATCCAGATTTGTAACTCAGTTCATAACAACGTCTTGCTGTGAGAGTGAAACTTTATACATGAAGTTTATAACAATTCTTGCTATGACAATGAAACTTAATTTATATATAATCTACGCTGGATGTAATATTCAAGGTGCTCACAGAATTAAATATTCATGAATGTAGCGGAGGAATTAACCTTTTAAAGGCAACTGTAAGCAGAGCTTATATGAAGTATGGAACCCATGACAACCAGAACAGCACACAGTGTTTCAAGCGCATTTTCGTTCATAACGCACGGCAGTCCTGAATTCCTGCCAAGAATGACTGGTTGAGAATAAGAAACACCCACGATACAACAAGAATAAGAAAATATCTCTCATATAATGCACGGATATACTCAATGTCAACTGGTCTTGACCTGGTCCTCATGCTTTGATATACGGAGGTCAACTATCAAGCACAAAGCAATCAAAGTTTCAAAACTCAAGCATATTATGATGGATAGTTGTATGTGCAAGCTGCCAAAAAAAGTAGGAAGTTAAATCAACACTGCAATGAAAAAATGAAAAAAAAACAAAACATTTTAGCTATGAAAGTCTTCTTCAGGTGCGTGAAGACACCACAGCCTAAATTTGTATTTGCTTGTTTTTTACCTATTTGCAGCACGGGATGAATCTTTATTGAGATATGTTGTAATTCATTAGATCATCATATGACTTCTTACGCATTATTGAGATGTGTGTTAAGAGGGTGGGGCATGATATTCAACGGGAAGTATGATACATGCTCCGTCAAGAGCCTTTTACCTAGTGTTTTGTTTGGTATCCTATCGACCTCCAGGATGAAGTCATCTTTGAAGAAGATGTACCCAACAATGGAGAAGAGATAGACGAGGATGAGCGCGAGCACAGCGGTCAGGATAATTGAACGGCCATTACGCGTCACACTCTTAATGACATTAAGCAGCGTCTCTTCTCTATAAACCAAATCAAACAGCTGGGGAAGGGAAAGAAAGAATCTGATTGTAGACAGCAGCATTCTCAAACAATTCTACAATTATAAAGTCTTTTCTCAACCTACTGCTTTAGAGAAATAAAACGGTATTGTAACAGATCTGCTAACAACCTAAAGTGCAATCCCATGGTATTACATTCATTCAACAACTTAAGGCGATAAAAACTTAAAGTGATCAGGTAACGTTACTTTCTATGCTTTAGCTTCAAAATAATCGTTTTTAATGTTGGTCACTTGGGTCCTGATCTTCATGAGGTGTTGAATGTAATGCCAATCACTATAGTCTAACCCCACATCAATCATCCTAAACTAAATTGTCTTCAAACAATGATCATTTCCAGCACAAATCTGGAAGGTTAAATATTAACCTTTGTCATACTGCAGAGATTAAGACAAAAGCAAAAGAGGAAGCTTGTGTGGTTAAAGACAGAAAGTAACAACTCAAACCTGAGATTCACAAAAATAGCACTTTATAGATGAGACTTATAGAGATGCTCTTCTGTGCTGTCTTAAGCAAGAAATATAATTATATCATATAAAATCAATTTTAAAATTAAAAGCAAATAAAACTGACCCCTGACCCCTGACTTCATTTTTATTTGCCAATGTGGCAAGAAGACTGCTGGTCACCTTAGAAATGATTTTTTCTGCTATTGATTTTTTTTTATTTATCTCTGCTCACTCACCAGCAGGCTGTAGAAGAATACATGGACAAACACCCCCAGACTACAGATAATCAGGTACAGAAGATGATAGAGGAACTCCATGTCCAGGATCATAGCTTTATACCCACGGGTGAAAGTTCCACGATTTCCCACAAAACTCATCAGGAAGATAATTTTATTGCAAACCTGGGGAAGAGAAACACATTTAAACAAAAAAAAACAGGAAGGATCAAAGTTCATAACTTTGCACTGATGTGGACTAACTATTCTTAAAATTTGGTGCTTTAGACGAGAGATGGACTGCCTTGTGGTTGCAAAAAAGGTGTACGGGTTTCACAGGTGTGGTTACATTATGACAAAGTTAAATTTGTCAAACTGCCAAACTAGATCAATTATGTCATTGAGGCCATAAGTCAAACCAAATGTTGAATGAAGATCCTGTGAACTTTGAAGAATAATTCAGACTGCTTAGATCTACTTACTAAAAGGGTAAAAATACATTATTTTTAAATATGAGGTAACAAAAGTCAAATGCACAACACAGCCCCGTTTTATGTTTTTCTATCCACGTTTGATCTAATTTATTTTAAACAAGTTCATGACTACCAACAATGCAAAAAGTGCGGCTCTAACTACAAGACCGGATGCTTCTTATGATAATCAATAAAATCTTGCTCTTAAGTGACAAAAGTTTGTGTTACCACACAGTGTTGACACCAATATTGCCTACACTGCCAGAATTGTGACATATCTGACACTAAACCATGAACACCAGACCATTTTATGTGTGCATAAAGATATTGAAAGTCTACACGTTTTTATGGTCCTTTTTGCTTTGATCATGTTTAAAGCATACATTTTGAGGAAAGGGACAAATAAGTACAAGGACAGGAATTAAATGTCGCATTAGTCACCCTAAATCCTAACCTTAACGAGTAACAATACACAAAGGAAAACTACCGGAGGTGCAACATTTAAGCAGACTGAGTAAAGACATAAGCAAATGGAATTAAATTAATATCAAGCTTTCTTACATTGAAAGCACCAAGCAGGAACAGAGTTGGCTCCAGACCGACTGAGAATATCAGCCGCAGAATGGTGGAGGCGATCAGAGCTCTTATTCCATGAGGCTGGGGCAATGCAATCACTATGGCCAGAGACACAAACATTCCCATCCACAGAAGGGCTGACAAGTGTGGCTCGAGTGTACCTGCAAACCAAATACTGGCTGAAACCTTCAATATCAGAGTGTTTCTTCACATTTCTTTTGTGATCAAAAATAACCTACACAAATACATATATTTTAAGAAAATATTTACAAAGTCCAAATATGCCCATCTTTGAAAAGCGATGCAACTCAACAAGCAAACATCTTTAACATACAAAGAAAATGTCAGACAATTATAGTGCAAAATATCCTTTTAATGCAAATGGAACTGGCAAACCATACTACATGATTTAAATTAGTCCGTGAGGGACCTGCAAAAAATCATTCCAAAAAAGGAGGTCAATAATGAACCTGTGCAACAGCCACGATGGGAATTATTTTAACACATTGGATGGGACTTCTCCAAGCTGTGTAATCACACAAAATACAAAGGTTATATAACGCAAGAAAACAGTGACATACTTGTGTATTTTGTACCTCCATGGAGATAAATATGAACCCACCTCATGTTCATTTAATCCATCAGTAAATCTCAGATTAATATCAACAGATTGAATTTAATAGGTTGCGAGGAACTCTCTAGATATCACATTTTCAAATTAGGGGTAAAAAAAAAACATTAAGCATTAAGCTTGAAATAAAGCCTATTTCTTAAAGCAGGAGATCTTTCAGGGGCACAGGGATGGAAAATGCGTGCATTTTCTGAACTGGGTCAATTTGTGTAAGTCAAACAGGAGGACCACAGCTGTTTACAGACGACCTGTCCTTTTTTGATAAAGTCACATAACAGGTGCCAGTTATGTAGCTGTGGTACTAAAAATACCCCACGCTTTTGAAAGATTAATGAAAAATTCTGAGGGAATGACCATAAATTATCGAATGTTTAATTCAAGGTGTCTCGATCTTAAAATGCTACTCTGATCATCTTTCCCTTTTCCACAGGGCGTACTGACTCACGGAAAGCAAAAAAGAACCTTGAGCTTTTGTAGCTATTAAGAAATGCCACTACAGTTCTAAAAAATACATTATTTTTGCTAAGACAAACAAGGCAAAGGGGCTTTGTGAAAAAGATGGCCCAACTGACGCCTGAAGAGTGACTGAAAATCAAAGACGCTACAATTCTTGGGTGAGAGAGGAGGTGGGGAGATTCCATTACATGTTCAATGATTCGGGAACACGGGAGGTTTAAAGCAGTCATGTCATACATGTTAAATACACATTTCTCACATGTTGATACTCTGTTTATTTTGACCTATTTAAGAGTGATTTCTTATCGAACACTTCTATCAACACATTGCTCTGTGCTTCAATAAAGGGTGGAGGAACCATCCAACAATAACCTGTGAGCAGAACGAGACCAAATGTATTTGGTTTTTCACGTGACTTACCGTGCTTGGTAAGAGTTTGTATTATCTGTTGTGGAAGTGGTTTTCTGTGCTGCCTCACATCTGCTATGTTATATATGAAATTTGTGTTTCAAATTTCATATATAACATGACAAACGTCTCAAAAGCCTTAAGAACTGTCCTTTCATTCTGAAGGATTTTAAAACCACATCACAATCTCAAATAAGTAGTTCCTGAAGTGTCAATTTTGATTTACTGTTGAAAATTAATAACAGTGTTTAGGAATTTAGTGTAAAAACACTGCATGTTTGCACATGCAACCCAAAGGCACTGGCAAGAAACAGTTTGGTGCATAGCAGCAAACTATTGCAAAGAACTTGCAGGCATGGAAAACCTTTAAAAAATATATGACTTATATTTAAAATTGTAGTTTGAAGAATTAAGTTACAGAAAACTCAGGAGCAAAGACAGGACAGATGATTTCATGAGGCACTGTGGGTGTTGCAGATGCTGATTCAAAAAGAACTTTCCAGTCACGTCTTTGTGGGGTTCCTGGATAATAAACTGCTATCTAACAAATAAGCACAGCTGCTGGATGTGCTTGTCCCACTTATACCAGGCCATGTTTTTCACATAAATTTGACGGGGTAAAATGTGGAGACCGCATTTTAAAAGTTTAAAGTTAAAAATTGAGACACTTTAAAAGACATTTTAAGAATTACAAAAAATATTCCCATTTCTTTTATCTGTGGACTAACACTAGTGCTCAAGTCACTTTTAATTTTACAAAAAGCGGTGATTAAAAGCTCAGTGGAGAGACAAATTCTTTTTTAGGCGGATTTGAATACTTACACATAACAATGGAATACAATGATACTTAAAAAATACTTTGCATTTTTTTCATATAATCACAAAAAGTGATTTATGTACATCAACACACAGCTACTATGGTAAGGCCAGATTTTCATTTCCAGTGCTGCGATGAAAGCGTCCTGATCTGAACTTTTCCTGGAGCAATACTGTCTTTAACAAGAGGATGTCTAAAGCTGGGGTTTCAGCAAAGCTCTGACATTTTTGGAGACAGATGAAAGTTCCTTGTTCAGAGCAAACAATTTTTTCCTTACACAGAGGAAGTACAGACAAAAGCGACTGCGCTGCTTGACCCCAAGTGAGAACAATTGAAAGTTTATGTGAATCACAATATAGGGTTTATTCCTCCATCTACATATGCTAACAAAGGAATACTTCATTGCACTGGTCACACAGACTATGACTGTTGCTGCTTCTTCATTTGGGAAAATGCCCTATTATTCAGGTATAAGAAACAAAATGCTTTGGGTTTGTAACGCAGATCAAAACATGAACAATCATACTGAAGCTTATAGCTTAAGCTAGCTTTGCAATACTGGTGCACTACAGGCTACCAGGTTTAAATATGCATCTGAAACCAAGAGACAGAGAAGCCTTTCCTTATTTTCAAGTGTAAAAACAGTGGATATTTAGTTCAGGTATCCTTTAAAAGATTAGAAACTTTCAACATTTACCTGTATCTTCAAAGAAACTTGGCACAAATCTAGATGCATCAAAATAAACCTCAAGTAGGTTGAGACCTTTATTTTCAAAAGGTCATGTTAACGCTTGATATGAAATTGTGACATGTGATATCTGTCCGAGTTTAGAGGCCTAAAAAAAGCCAGTAAGGGCTTTAAACCCCGCAAGGAGCAGAGGAAGGGGAATTCAAGACCATCACCTGATCTACACATGCAGTAGGAGAGGAAAATTCTGCTAAACAGAACTGATGTGTAATAGTGAAACTGTCTCAGAGTGAAATTTCATATTTGAAACAAAAGGTGACTGGTTTAAACACCTGCCCCAAGCAAATGTACCTAAACCTTTCTTCTCACATTTCAGGAATAAAAGTGATATCAGTATTCCTCAGTTTATTGTCTGTTACAGAATTTAATTATGTGTCGGGGAAAATAAACGTTTGGTCTCCAACGTTAACAGCCAGTGCATCTTTCTTTTGCATTTTTTTATGTAGAAGATGTAATTACATGAAGATTCCAAATTCAAAAGACTCCTTACAACCAAGGAGCCTAGAGCACTAAAACACACTGATGTGTTGAAAAGAAAGACTGTGTGTTAATTTGATAGAAAATAATAACACTGACACAGCACACTTCAAATTAAAATCTTTGAAATGTTAATGCTCTTTTGGTATCCATAACCAGGTCAAGCAGTCAAAATGAAAACTAATTAGACACTGTTACTTGTGACATTTACCCAGGTATTCATTAATAAGGTGCAAACGTTTGTATGTTTTGCATAATACCGTAGTACTTGTGTAAAAAGTAGATAATACTGACAGAGGGTACAGGTTCTTCATCAAGTGCAAGAACTTTGTGGGCCACAATGACTGGTGGATATAAAGAGCAAAAAATGTTTTAATGCAGTTAAATGATTTTTAATACAAAAGTAACTTGTGTTACACAGTCTGAAAGCTTAGGCTTTGTCGACTTTAACTTTGTCACAGGGTCAGGGTATTAAGAACCAGTGTTATTATGAAATGAAAAGCTTTGCGCGTTCCTCTATTTTTTGCATAGCTATGGATTAATGGCATTTCTGATGCAGCAAAACATTATTATTATCAATTCATTAGGTTGGTGTCTTTGTTTCAGGGTTCCATTTGGGACTGTATAAACCCTGGCACTCACTTATGTGCTTCGGTTAGGTAGTAGGTTAGCATTAAGGTAAAGTACTTTGCTCATGGGAACGACAGTGTCCTTAGCCTGAATTTGAACCCAGGGCCTTCCAAGCAGGATTTCAGGAAGCTACCTGTTAACGTCACATTGCCACTGCACGTGGAAGTGCAGAAGTGCTTACATGCAGTTACAATTCAGCTTTCTAGTTAGCATGCTGGACTGCTCCCTAAAACTCACTGATGCGTATTGTTTGTACTTTAGAATAAAGCCCAAATCAACCAAGCATCCCACAGGTTTCCTGTTCTTCAACGGGTTTGTAAAGCATGTAATTGAAAAGGCACTTCTTAGCACTTTTGCTTACTTACTCCCCCTTCTTTTGTAGAAGCTCTTGAAAAGTTAGATATAAAACACATAAATAACTGGCTTCTTTGTTCTGCCAATGAGGAAGCTGCTGTGGAAGAAGTCAAATAAAGGTGAGAGAGATGAAAATTACTGAAGTGGAGGATTTGTTTCTACACATCCTGCTGAGGCTTATGTATATTTAAAAAAAAACAGAAATATCAGATAAAACGCAGAATGATCTGTCAGCTCTGCAGCTCAAGGGGAAAGATTTGTGTTCCAGAAAAACGAACCCCACCCACAAACAGCATTTTGGGAAGGCCATTTCCAGCAGAAAAAGTGAAGCCACTCGTCTCAGACAAATCCTTACCACAACAGGTTTCTTTTTCAAAGAGTCAAACCCAGTATATCTGGGCACTTGACTAGAATTTCTTAGGTCCACTCACCTCCCCGGATTCCCTCCAGAGGATAGAAGAAAGCGACCAGCAGGTTCATGAGCACAGCCAGGTTGAAGGAGATGCTGCTCCAGAAGGACATATTGCGGGAGCACCAGTAGAGCACAGGCTGGGCTGTGGAGAAGGAGACAACACAACCCCAGACTCTTCACACACCATCTGACTGGGAACCTCACGGCCACATGTGTCATCACACTAACCATCACACCCTGGCCTGCAAAACCCTTATGGAGCTGAACTCTTTACTTTTTTTGCTCCCTAGAACAAGAAATGGATTCTGTTTAAGAGGGGGGAAAAAGGAGGAAAGAATTTCTCAATTTTCCTCCTGGTTCTTGTTCCTCAAAAAGACTCAGGTGGTAAAATGAGCCTCAAGGAACCCAAACGTGACCAACAGTCTGCAAACAAACATCTTCAATTTCTTAGATTCAATACTAATCGGGCTGTGTGCATCTGACACTTGAAGAGAGAAGCTTTCAAGGCCTCCAAACCTAATTTATACAACTCTGCTCTGTTAACTTTGCAGCTGTACTCCACCCATAAGTCTCCAGTTTAATACAATTACAGCAAAATAAGACTCTTTAAGGCAGCATTAATTTTTAGGTGAAGTGTTAAACTGGATTTGTTTCCTTGAGCTATAAACTGCAATTAGAGATTTTAGATTTCTGTTAGCTGGTAAAGTATTCGGTTTAACGGATGCTATTTTGAAAGCACACTTTGGTTTGGTTTTAAAGGAAAAGAGGAAATAAGTGAGGGGTTTTTTCTTCTTCTAAACACAGGCAACACTCTCAAGTCTTTACATAGCACAGAGAGACTGCAACTGCACTTCTCAATTCTGATTCATATAGATAACTGTAATCATGTGTCTGGCACACAGACCTCAGCAGCACATAGTGTAATTCCCCTGGCAGAACAACTGCCTTAGACAATCCCATTCAGAAAAAAGTATGCCGAACCACACAATAGTTTAGGACGGCTCAAAATCATTTACCAGGTAATGAATTCTTAGGAATACTTAGTGACGGAAAAACAAATGAACAGGCAATAACAAATGTTATATAACATCATTTGGAACTTTACAAAATAAATACTACTGTATATGCTAATGTCAGAATGTCTAAATACACGTTGTGGACAATATTAACTATCCAAAGCTCTTTTTGCGTTTGGGCCAAACTCAAATGACATAAAATTCAGTGCCACTGACAGGCTGCCTTCATAAAAATTTTAAAACAACAGTCAGTACATTTCGCCACTCTTGGTATTGCTCAGGCTCAGTTACCAGTGGGACGCTAGAACAAGCAGTAGGTGTAGTTGAGCACAAAGCAGGAAAGTGAGTATGGGGTAGCGTGGAATGTCTGGGAGATTTCGGGTTTTGCTTTGTGAAAGAACGCCTGCAGCTCTGGGGTTTATCAGGCACCATGGGCCTAATAGCTCACTTGGGCCAAACGTAAGAAGGGCCCCTTGGGGTTTCGCAAGTAGTTCGACCAGTCAAGGCACTTGCACAAGCGCAGGTTGAGACCAGGTTCGAGCCCCTTCATGCTGCACTCCCGACTGCGAGTGGGATTCCCCAAGCAGCGGGGCACAGATGGCCGATAGCCACCGACAGTCTAGGCTGGGTTAGGTCAGCCACCTCGGTCAACTCCCGGGCGCTTCCAAGCATACAGTGCTGTCGGTGAGGGATGTGCCTCTAACTCCAATCAGTGTCGAACCTCCTTAACAGGGCTGTGAGGCAAAACGGGGTGGATATTTATCCCTGTGTGAGGTCACGGGGTTGGGATCCGAGTAGCGAGCCGAGATGTGAAAAGCAAGCAAATCGGCAAAAAAAAAAACAGAGAGAGCTCTCACTGCACTTGGCATAGATCCCCGAGTGGCAAAGCTCTGCTCCTGCAGACGGCTTGCACTGTCAGACACCAAGAGGAAATGGAGCAACTGCACTTTGCAGAGCCTCTAAGTCGGCACCCCAGTCATTTCAAGCCTTCTTCCCTTCACCAACCGAGATGCGTCTCTCACAGAATGCCAACACTTTGAGTGACATCTGCCTACACTGTAATGAAAACATTTAGCAACACTGCTTTTCACCTGCTGAGATCTCAAAGAGATTTTTTACTTGTATCACATTATGATATCAGTTTAAGGGCAGCGTTCCTCCATACTTCTCTATTACATAAGGCTTTGAGATTACTTTTTTTGTACAGAGCTGTGAAGATTAGCTGCTAACAGAAAATAAATGGCTACTTTAGTAGAGATGACCACACAATTGTGTTTCTGAATAAAGAAGGAAAAAATATGTAACAAAAGAGTATAAATATGTTTAAATGCATTTATCGCATGTTACTGTAGTTGCCAGACATTAAGAAAATGGTTACATTATTACAAGGCTTTGTAGCAGAAACTCCACCACTTTTAAGCCAAAACTGGGGCTTTTATTCAAATTCTGCACGTCTCAAAGCAGGTATGGGCAATGGTGTGATACCTTGACCAAGCAACACTACATTGATGAGGCTGAAATGGGTTGCCTGTGCATCTCTTTGATGAAAATGGCAGATGGGCATTCCTATTGCATGCCTTTGTTCTTTTTAAAGAGCGGTTGTTTTCACCATGTAACATCAGTGCAATTTCTGAATGGGATTCCTGGCCAATAGCGATGCGCAGGTCGGCTTGTTTTTGACCGGCACCCACCCGAGCTGATTTAAAATGATAGAAGGTACGGACCCGAACCCGGTCCGAACCTGCTCCATTAGAAATTACACCTGTACCCGTCCGCGGTTGTGAGACACGAACCCGCACCTGCCCGACCTGATCGAAAATCTTTTGTTTTTCTAACCCGAGCCCGCCCGACCTGCGGGTAAACCGCAGGTGTGAGTCAACCCGCGCATCACTACTGGCCAATTTCGTTGCTGTTCCTCGGACATGGAAATTTAAAGTCAACTCACAATCACATGAAATTAAAACTTAAGGTTCTAACGTGCATTTATACGTCCTCACCCCCTGGCTCTTACATTCAATGTGGTTATTTGTTGTTTTTTTTGCGGGGGGGGGTACTTGACACTGTACGCAGCAGGATCAGAAGGCCGAGGTGGGTGAGCTCGCATAAACAGCTACAAGGAGAGTTACTTAGAAGACGCACAGGGAACCGTGTTTGTGTTACCAACAGCCTCTTGTGTACCTCGCAGCTTCTTCTGCCAGTTCATCTCGTTAAAGAGGTCTTCCGATCTCAGGAAGAAGTCATTGATCTTGCTGCCCTGCTCATCCCGCTCGGTGGTGTAGTAAACCCTCAGCTTTGACTCGTTGGTGAGAAACTCACAGATGTTGGGGACGGGGAATACGATCTGCTCCATGGTGCGATCCTGCCGCACAATCTGAACAAACAAAGCCCACAACAGTCAGTCATCCTTTCAGGTAGGGGGTTCCCTGATTCTTCAGGCCTGGAGGGACCACTTTTTAGGACCAGTGTCTTCACATGGGACCCCCTATATTTAAAATATCAATGCAATTTCAGCACCAATACAAAAAGCCAGGCAGTTAATGCAAGCCACATTTAAAAAGTGAGAAAAATTGAGTCTGTGTGTCTGCGTAGATCATTGGATTATGTGTTCTAAGGCTTTCCTAGAACTGGACAGAGAAAATGGCTGAGGAGGTCTGGGGTTTCCCACACCTCCCCTTGGGAACCACTGCCGCAGACGCCTCCCCACTTTCCATTCTATTCAGCACTGAATAATGTCAGATCGAGGTCCACATCTGCTCTAGTCTCTTAATTCTTGACATGTCTGGGATCACATCAGGATTTATGGGATTTTCAAGGGCACTCTTAGGCATATATTTTGCAATCTGCCCTGCATTTGAATGCAGACTTTTTAAAGTAAAAAGTCAGTGCTTTATCTAGAAGAATTAAAGTATCATGTGCATTCCCAACTAATCACGTTGCTATGGGCTATAAAATTACACCAAATGACTGTGCTCTTAAGCTAAATAAGAGACAGATTTTTAAACTTATATACAACTATAAAGGGAATAACAAGTCGATCATACTGATCACATATTATTCTTAACCCTTCAGAGTCAAACATTCTTTGACATTTTAAGAGGGTACCATCTACAGTGTATAACTGTTCAGGACTACGAATGTCAGCCACAACTTTCTAAATTAAAAAAACATTTACATCAAGACATCTGCTTAACATGATAAACTTTGGTTGCCCATGATATCCCTAATAAGTGTGATAATAAGCTGAGGTCTCTAGAGTTCTCATAAGTTATTTTTCAGTAGACACAGCTTCATCTGTCTTAAAAAAGAATGGTAAAATAGAATATAACAAAGCACAAAAAATTGACATTATAAAATGCTCATTGGAGGGATGTGAATAATTTAAACATTATTCTATATGTTCTAAATGCAGCACATCTTTAGAAGCAATACATTTTTAATATGTAGTGGTTATTTTTAATTGCCGCTTATATGAAAAAATTGGCACTCTAAAATTGAAAAGCTCCTCATGAGCTTTCCCACTCCGTCTCCTCCAGTCTCTACACTCAACAGAACTCTGAGTTGGAAAATGATGCAGGGGAATTACTCTTAATAGCTTTCAGTCAGAGGTGAAGTCACCGCTGTGAAGAACAACATAGGCAGTTCACAAAGTGAACATCCAGCATACATTCTCTTTGTCTAGATGCTTTGAATAGAATGCTGTGTAACTAGAATTTCATAGTCTCCCTTTATATATATGGTATTTCTTGATAAATTCATTTGTCATTGAAACATTGGGAATTATTTTGTTTTGACTTTGTGTAACATGGTTGTGCTATAGATGCTAGTTTAAGACAGTAAGATCCATTACCGATGCAAAGCATACATAAAAAGCATACATCTTTCATTTGGCTTTATTTTTTTTAAAGATACATTTAAAAAACAAACAAACAAACAAACAAACAAACAAACAAACAAACAAACAAACAAACAAACAAACAAACAAACAAACAAACAAACATGATAAACAGGACAATATCAAAAGCAGATTTAAAAGAAACAAAACAAAAATATCAAATACCACTTTGAGAAAAAGATTAAAATGTCAGCTTGCAAGCCAGCAATCCCATGTGATTTATTGTAAAATAGGTTATGCTGAAAAGCACCTGGTACTGAAAATAAACAAGGGATCAAAGTATGAAATGCTCAAAGGACGTCTTATAGCAGGACAGTACAGAACACCTTTATATTAATCGTAGAAAACTGCAGCTCTAAGGGCAGTTTCCCTGTCCACTGTCTGTGCTCACTGACCTCGATCTGAGCAGTGTGCTTGGCGTAAAACTCCAGCGCCTCATCTCCTTCTCCATTCTGGCCTCCAGGCTTCAGCATGTGCTGGAGCTCCTTGTTGTGGCGAGCCAGCTAAGGTTGAAACCACAAACTGCGTTAGCAGACATTACAGCTCTGATAATCCCCCACCACAGATGATGACATTTCTAAAGGTTATGCCATTTTCCCCTTCAAGCTTTCTGAAACTGCCTTTCGAGGATGAAATGCTTCACAGCAGCAAGGCTCGTCTGGAAGACGTTTTGGCTCATGGTTACCTCCGTGCTATCATAAAGCATCACTTTTCCATTTATATACAAAATTTGCAGGTGAGGCAGTGTTTCCCCCCAAAGAACACACATTAATAACAAAAACAAAGATGAGGTCTACACTGTGTGGAGTTACTCAAGCCTAAAAATGTTTGACACAAATATTAAATGATTCTTACACAGTAAGGAGGATAGTTCCCGGTCACTTGCAAACATAATTGCAATTTTTTTTGGCTAACTTACAGGTTGAGAGATCTTTTGTTGTTTTTCGGAAAATCTTAAAAAGCCAGCCAGATAAGAACATCCCCTAAGGGAAAAACTTTTTTGCTTGAAACAGAGTAGAGAACACAAGCAGTGCGCCCATGTCACATTGAGCTGCAGGCAGTATTTCTCAGACACCTTCAAACCGCGATTTCAAGCACAGAAACCCCATGCTGCCCTTAAACCAAGTTTCACTATCACAATTTATCCCACGTACAGCATCTTTATGCACCACTGCCACTAAAAAAGAAAAATAAGCTGCAAGACTTTGAATGCTGTGGCCATCAAATGGAACTTGTGAAATGGGAGAATTAAAGCGGAACTAAAAAAAATTCTTAAGCAGAATGGCTATTTTCACTGAAGCTTCATCTTCACCTAAAGTGCTTTTGCAATTGCCTAACTGAACTTTACAATTTTCCCAAAATAAATGTTTAGGCATATACTGTACCAAAATGGCAACAGCTTCTTTAGTGTTCAGGATTTAAGCACACCTCCAGAACAACATCAGAAACTGACAACAGTCTAACTCGATATAGAAATCTATGACCGTCTCAAAGGGCACACATGCATCTACTGTGCGTCTTGCAAAATAAAACTTCCCCCACCCTCCGAAGCAAAACGGGATGTTCAGCCTGACTGCTGCCTGCAATGACTCTAATCAGTGGTGTCCAACTCTGGTGACAGAGGAAGTTTCCATTGTGCAGATAGCTAACATTGTAGAATTACTGTACAAGGGTGGTGCTTTCCAATGCATAACATACTGTACTGCTTTTAAGCTGAAAATTGCACCCTCAAGCCAATGTTAAGGTCATATTCTTGTCCTTGGAGTGTCAAATATCCCATTTTCTGTCACTATGTCTCCTTAATACCATGTTCATCCTAGAGATAAGAAATATATTTTCTCTCTGCAGAGAAGAGAATGTACTTTAACAGAGGGTACTGTAAAAACAATCTATTCTCAGTTTTCGGTGGCTTTAAATGTGAGATTTCCCACAGATTTACATGTAGGTTAAAGGTTCCACCTTGGAGTTGTATGCTCTATACCTGATGCGCCAGAATGTAGATGTTGTGACCCACGTTGCGGGGAGAGGCTGCATGATCTTCCCCATTTTCTCCCTCCTCATCGGTATCCTCAAAATCCAACTCTCCCTGCAGATATGCCTTCTTGATCACTTCCACCTGTGAAGGAAAAGCAAACCCGCGTTCACTCAGCACCTAAAACACTCTCAATAGTTCACCAGCAGGAATGGGGGTATAAATGGAGATTACTCACATTTTTCTGTGGTTTTTTTCCTCCACATTCCACAAAATGTGTTTTAACGGGAAAGTGCATTTTGTTATCATTTTAAATTATCCGACAAAGTTACAATAAATCACCAACTAGTCCTTTAAAAGGTCTCACTGGTGTTCCCAATTCTCACATTATTGCCAGGATTTTATTTTTTGCTGTTCAACAAGCCAGAAAACGAGGTCAATAACTCTAATTCCTAAAACCGTACCAGCAGAAGGAAAAACAAACTTGGATGAAAAACTAATCACAGGAAACAAAAAAGACTACATCAGCTCCATCAGTATTTTCTGATGATTTAATCCCCTCACAAGTGATGCTTCAAAAGTAAAAGGCAGGGGGACTGTGGGTGGTAGCAACTGGGAAGCACACTGAAAGGTGTTAAGTGGCACACCCACGTTCAGGAAATCCTATCCACGCAAATGGAGCAATTCATTTTGAGCAGATTGGGGCCGACTGTTACATGAATGGAAATCAGCAGTCGTTTTTCACACCAAGCGGTCCAATTCTGAAGCGAATGCAAAGTGTGTCCTATTTTTTTCTCTTCCGCCTCAAAAACAAAGCCAGACCTGATCTTCCCGTTCTATGCTGTACTCCAAGTTCCAACACCAATCTCTAATGGCTCGCATTCGAGTTTTGATAACAAAGGAAACCAAATAAAGATGGGACAAAAGTGTCTAATTTTTACCAGCTCCTTCGGCCTCATGTTGTAAAGTATTCTCTCTGCATTTTCACTGTCATGGCGGCTTTCCATGATTGCCAACAGCAGCTTCGAAGCATTGTTCTAGTGGAGAAAGATTGTCAGATGTAAAGCAAGCAGCGCTGACCTCTGCATCCTCTGTTTCTTCCCTACTTTTTTTTAGGTCTAATGTTTTTTAGCACAAAGACAAAAGTCAGAAGTTGAACACTCAGACGGAGGGTTTATAATTTCAGATTTCTGTTAAACCGGGACCACGGAATATACCAGAATGACCCTAATCATTTAAGAAACAGAGACGTGCTTCTTTTTTTGTGTTCTGAAAAAAACACAAAAGAGGTCTCCTGAGTGGTTCAACCACAAGTTGAGCTTGGAGATCACGAGACTGAGCCTGGGACTTGCCCAGGAATTCTCATGCAGTGGTGTGCGATCAGCTGAGCTCTGTTGAGGGAAGGGTGTAATCTGGCCTGGATTCTCTTGACTCTCTCAGTGACCCCCTCTGGCCTCCTGATCATTTGCAGACGTGCAATGCTGTCAGTGAAGGATGTGCCTTCCCACCAATCAGCTTTGCCAAAGGGCTGTGCTACCTATGATGTTTTAATAGATGGGTCAGAGGTACACTTCCTCAGTCGCTCCTGTGTCTGGTCACAGGACTCGCAGCTCTGAGCTGACCTGATAAAAACAAGACTGACTGGCTATTCCAAATCATGTGGTTGTAACTGAAATAATTGTCTATTAAAATCCAAAAAAGTTTTTAAAAAAAGATACATTTTTAGGTGTCTAAATGTAAGAAGAACGTGTGAATAATTTGGACACTAGCGATTAAAATAGGACTTGAAAATCAAAACTTTTTCTATGACTGTTTGAGCACGACCAGGCTCAAGACCAACCAAGGAACGACCCCAGCACTGATACAACTGACAGAATGCAGAAGCAGCTATTCTGCAGCCAACTTACCTTAAGTTCCAGCACTAAATCCATTCTCTTCTTACCCAGGGGATTGATGTCATTGAGAATCAGGGCAATGATAATGTCAATTCCATTCGACTCATGTGTAGCAATGCAGTTCTGAAAGAAAACATTAGAGCATAATAGCTCCAGCAAATATGGAAACTACAGTGTGAAGAATATTAGTGCTAAAAAAGAAGGAACTGTATTAACAGACGCAAGTCCCACAACAGCCCAAGAGGAAAGAAAGAAAAAATGAGTAGTATTGACACAATAGAGGATTTTTATAGTATTGTTGCCAGAAACAATTCAACTGTCATTGGTTTTATTACCCAAGTATATTGAATCATCTCAACAGGAGAACACAAAACCTTTTAAGTGAGAAACTTTGAATATCCTAGACATATCAGAAAATGTATATCAAGGTGTGAATGCAAATCAAAATATTTGCAGCAAAACAATACACAATGCCTTCTAGTCGTTAGTAATGAATCAGAAATACGATGCAAATTAGTACACTTAACTGAGAAAAGTGTTTTTTTTATTTTGACTACTTGAAAACTGAATTTACCATTTGTAATAAATAATCCATTTAACTACTGCTGGCTAAGATGATTTTTATGATGTCTCAAACCCCCTTTACCTAGAGATTGAAAACATGACAGGTTTTTCGTTCAAGACAGATGTCTACAGGTTTTACAAATAAAAAGGGTGCACTTCCAACAAATTCAGACATAATATCAAGGGCAGGAGCATATCTAAAAATTAGAAGGCTTTTTTTTCTAGGGTTAATGTAAACCAATGTTGTCACCAGCAACCAGATGTGAGATTCAGTGTTCAGCTGGGCCTCAGCATTGTTATGAGGGTGTGGGGTTTTCTCTTATTAATAATAACTCCTTACATTTACACAGTGCTTTTCTGGACACTCCACTCAAAGTGCTCTACAGGTAATGGGGACTCTCCTCCACCACCAACAACATGGAGAACCCACCCGGATGATGTGACGGCAGCCATGGTGCGTCAGTACGCTCGCCCTACCCAGCTATCAGTAGGGAGGAGCACAGAGTGATGAAGCCAATTCACTGCTGCGGATTATTAGGAGGCCGTGATTGGTAAAGGCCAATGGGAAATCTAGCCAAGACACCAGTGTAACATCCCTACTCTTTTCGAGAAACGCCCTGGGATTTTTTAATGACCACAGAGAGTCAGGACCTCGGTTTTACATCTCATCTGAAGGATGGCACCTTTTTACAGTTTAGCATCACTGTTACTATACTGGGGCAATAGGACCCCCTGAGCCCACTAACACCACTTCCAGCAGCAACTTCAGTTTTTCCTAGAAGGTCTCCCATCCAGGTACTGACCAGGCTCCCACCTTCTGAGCTTTAGTGGCCTGCCAGTTGTGAGATGCAGGGTGATATGGCCGCTGGCTCTTAGGAAGCAACGTACCTGGTTCTCATGGCAGGGGCCCTGGCAGTACTCAGTGAGGCTCTCCACAGTCTGATTGATAAGGGCCACATTCTTCTCATTGATATAAAGGCCCAGGAGCCCCAGCCCCCCTGTGGTGCTGCCACAGATACAGTCCAGGAACTGCAGGGTCTCGCATACCAGATTATAGTTTGTTTTGTTATTCTGACAACGAAGAAAGTTCTGAGGGGAAAAAAAAGGGCAGAACATGGTGTTTCAGCATTTAGGTCTTTTGGGCAATATGAGCACTGCCAGTAGATCGCCTCATCCCATCTCATGCTTTGTGAAGGTCATCTGTTTCACCAACAGTGGCAAAATTCCCCAACATAGCCAGCCCATAAGTACATCTGTGTATCTTCTCAGGATAAAAAGAAAAAATCCTTTTTGAATTTACAGCAGGTGTTTTTGACAACAGTGGTGGAAAAAATAAATGCTTTCCTACACTTTAAGTGTTGTTGGTCGTCTTTCTCCGGGTGACAGGGCTACAAAACGTTTAATGGAAAACTAATGGCACTACACCAACATGGAGGCCAAATAACCTTACATCCCTGTACATTTGCAATTATCTTGAAGTGTTCAGTTAACGGCAAGATGTACGTAATTTTAAACACTTCAATGGGATCAGACATTACAGCAACAATTAAAGTGTCTCACAGAGGCTGACCTGAGAACAGTGTGCACTGTCCACAGAGAATATCCTTGCTCACACAATCTCTAATCCAAAGCAAACATTCAATGCCTGACAGCATTCAGGGCTAAGAGACAACTCAAGGCTAGTTGCTAATGTGGAACTTCCCTCGAATGAATAGAAACTGTGTTCTACTGCATTTTTTTTTTCAAGAGGGGCACATTGAATTGAATACAAAAGTCTATTTTAAACATTATGCAGATTAATTTCCACCCTGTACGGTAACTTGTGACTTGAAAACATCTTCTTAAAAAAAAAAACTGGTCTTAAAATGTGCAGATAATTAACAAGGAAACTCTAGTTAGCTACTGGGTGGGACTGGATGTCTCTCTCATGCCCTTTCCCAGGTCATTCTCACAAAAACATGGTCTCCTCCTTCTCAGTACTCAACAAAATCCCACAAACCCTCCTTTCTCAGCACCAAGTGAGAAGTGCTTGGCCAGACATTTTCATTTCCTCCTGTACACAGATTCACACAAAACAAAAGCTTGAATTATACATCATCCTTCTGCTCCACTTCCAACAGGAAGGAGTAGCTGACTGACCCTTTTGCTTCAAGTAGAACTCCTCCTATTTTAAATCAAAACAAGAAGTGCACCTTCCAGCAGTTTGACCATATTTTTAGAGAACTGGTTCATCCTTTTTCCTCATACAGTCTAGAATGAATTACTTTGAATCAATTTGGAAACATTAAAGGGATCAATGCATAGGGTGAAGAAGGCTGGGATGATGAGATCAGAAACTAAAAGTGTATTCACTCATTAAACACTCATGTTTCTGTTCCTAGGTTCGTTTCTATAATAAATGCCTCCTCTTGGAAAATTCACCAGCGTGTGGCTTGCCAGCACAGCCCGCCTACACCACAACGAGACGGTGTTGCTCGAGGGCTGATTGTGACATTGAGAAATCCCCCAGGCTCAGGACTGACCTGCAAGTCTCGGTTGTGGTTCTCACACAGCAGCTGCAGGAAGCGGAGGATGGGCTGCATGATGGAGATGACGGTGCTCATTTCGCCGTCGTCCTTGTTTTTGTCTCCTGAAGTGGGCTGGCCGTCGCCGGAGACGAAATGCTCCTCCGAGTCGGCCTCCCTGCGGTAGGAATTGTAGGCTTTCTTGGTGGCAGAGGAGGCCTCCAGCAGTTGCTCGCGTACCTCCTCTGTGATCTGGGCTGTGGCATCTTTGGCTTTGAGGTGGAAGGGTTGGGAAGGAGGAGAGAAGAGGGAGAAGCTTGGACTCAGAGCTGCTCTGACAACGACGGAACACTCTGTACACAAAGCAAACTTGCACCTGGGACCTTAGCCTCTTTGCCGAGGAGATCATTGGATAATGTGGAGAGGCGATGTGGCAAAGAAATAATGTTGAGAAACTGGGCCTTGCATCCTGTGTCTGGGGGTAGCTGTGGCACTGATAATATTAATTTTAAAGTAATTTTAAGTACTTTAAAGTAAATAATTGGTGCCTTAATTCAAACAGTTCTTTGAATATTCAAATTAAATTCCCTGTGTGGTAAGGGTATCCAGTCTGGGTAATAAAACTGTGATATCAGTTTGGTACAACAGTTCTGGTTACGACTTTAACAATGTGATCACTATACGCTAAAGAAGCTGGCAGTACACAGATCTGCTGTTGCTCTTGGACAATATGCAAGAACACAGGCCAGGAAAGGGCTACTTCTACCCAACAGCAATAACCTACACAGTTCATCAACAATAACGCCTCATTTTGCTTGTGGTGCCCACTGACCTTTCTTGCGGACTGGCACATCGCGGTCAGAAGCGTCATCGTCCTTCTTCTTATTGCCGAGGTCGCTGGTGTTGACCGTGACGGTGGCTTTGATCTCCTGCTGGGCTAATTTCATCCGGTCATAAAACACCTTGAAGAACTTCTCGGACTTCTTGTCCTCTGTCAGGCGGCAATAGAAGGAACGCTGCAGATGAAAGACACAGACCAAAAAAAAAAAAAGAGAAAGAATTATGCTTCTCTTTTTTGACTGTATAAAAAACTGTTTTATAGAAACATATTTGAAATTGGATTGGCTTCTCAAATGAGAAGTTATATACCTATGTAAGGAAATATGGATGCATACGTTTATATATAAGAGTCAGATCCGCCACATGGATTACTTTAGAGTAAACAAGTTAATAAAATACAATTAACTTAGGTAAACCTTTTACTCTAAAAGCTTTTCTTTTTCAGAATATGCATTCCAATTCTCATTTCTGTCATATTTCACCTGTCATAAACAGTATGGATGGACTGCTATGTAGATGGGGGGAAAAAACACTGCTTAGAGTTTTACAAACAATACTTGTTAGTATGAACTTCCTCTGTTCAAGTCACTCATTATCTGCACAAGCTCCTGTGTCCTAGGAAAGTTGCTATAAAATGGTAACTGAGCCATCAGAAAACAGCCATTTGATTCTCTTCCATTTCAATAAATAGCCTCAACAAAGAAGAGGATGAATGGCACTATGATTAAATCAATGTACTTCATTCCTTTTCTGCCAAGTTCCAAACCTGACAAGCGCAGGTTAAGTTAAACGCAATCAATGATCTCCATTAATGTAATGAATTTTATTCAAATCACACTGACAAATCCTGCCCCATTTTCATCCGACACTCCTGTTTTACGTAAGGTCTCGGTAATCTGCTAAGCAGTTATTGGAAGGGTTACTGTAAAGGCAAATTCGGCAGAATTACACTTGTTGGAAAAAAAAATTAGGACAATCCTGCCCTGCAGTTTAGGGCCAGTCCGGTAATTATGTGTGAGAAAGAGATATCAGCTGGTATCTAGACCATTTTTACAAGCTTTTTACATAAGCAACCTTCTTACGGAATCAAAGCTCCTCTCAGTCTTTCTCCAGCTAGAGAAGTAAACAACGCAGCCAAGATCAAGCCAGTCCCATCTGGAAAACTGCACTGAATCATAGACATTTGCAATTTAACAAACTGTACCTCAGATCATTAACTGACACTGGCCACCTGGACAATAGATGGGACCGCAAGAAAATGTAATTAATTTTAAGCCTGGATATCTCTAATCGCAATCCAAACAGCAGAAAAAGAGATTTGTCTTTGAACTGAAATAGACAACAATCTGCAACATGTGAGATAACCACAAGTACACCACCAGCATGCAATAAAAAACATTTTTTCCCATATTTCATTGAGTAGGGCACTTTTGGTGACCAACCACTCCTTCAATATGCCGCAGAACAACCCAGTATGCAGTGCAGTTCAGGTGTGCAAGGGGTTCGGATACCCAAATTGCTGACTCAAAAACTAGTGGACTAATCTGTATGTAACAAGTGACAGGAAGAGGTAATTTTCACTGAGATATCAATCTCACCTCAAGATCACCATGATCAGGACACTACGAGCTACTGTTGCTCTGTCAATTTCCTGCTCAAGGTGTAGCAAACAAAAAAAAAAAGAACAACTTTCAACCTCTTCAATAATTCTGCACAAACCATCCAATAATTTCCATTGCAAAAGGTGTTCCTTTGTGTATATAAACTACAGAACACACAATGCATGCTATAGCAATCGTGACTGATGACCGTGAAAGACTGGAAACCAAAGTTATTGCTACAAATGTCATAATAAATCAGTCATGTAAATTCTTTTCTATTTCAGTAACAGATTTCCTTAATACACTGCAACGTGCCTTTACTACTATACCAAAACTCTAACCCTTACCATGTACCTCCGGTGAAACCTTACATTGCAACTCAAAGCTTGTACACAAATATAATTCTGACTATTATTTGAAGCTTGGTTTTTAAGGGCTTTCACTGCCACTTACAGCTGAAGCATTCATTTAACAACCTCCGCGGACAAAGGAGTGGTAAATAATCATGTCTTAAAGTTACGACAACATTGTCAGTGCTCACTTACAAGGAGTAAGTAAGCAAAGTTACTTTACATACTGTATTGATTTGCATTATAACCTCCAAGACATAAAACATCTGTTGGCAGAGTGAAGCTTGGATATATATACAGACATGCACGGTTCTCCGATTTTGCTACTGAGGGGGAGCCCCTGATTTTCAAGAAACATTTTTCAGAGGTAATCTGACCCACTTTATAGCACTGTAAACTGTGATATTAGCAGTATGTGAGTGAATAATATTTTAGGTTTTAAATGTGGACTGTGCCTTGTACTGACATATTTGTTGCCACAAACCTACTGAAAAATCTTGAAAGACTTTCAACTGTGGAAGTATGGACTGTGTACAGTATGTCCTTATATCTTTAGATTATATCCAAATTTTTGGATTAGAGTGCCAGAGGTTTAGATTTTGTCATCCTAAAAACTGAGTAATTATACTGAAGTTGAAACTTGGTGGAACAGAATCATGTTATTGATAGCTAGACAGCAGAAAGAGATTTGAAATTAAGAGTCCTCAATTAAAAAAAAAGAAGAAATTATTAGCACACATGAATATGGGTCTATCATCTGAAAACTGTAAACAATATTCTTTTTAGCAAGAAATTAAGCTATATTTGTTCCTTTTGCAGTACATTAGCTGAAGTAGGTCCCAACTCTAATTTATAACATTACACACATTTTATCCAAAAAATGACAACTGGCGCAAGAAAGAAAACGTGCAGGGAAGCTCTAGTTGCAGGTCTGTGGTGTGGGCAAACCTTGCGAATTTTGTCCAAGCACTAGGTGCTGTCAATCTGAGCCGACAGTTCTGGAGGAGAGACAGCCAGAGGAAGCCTCTGTGGTAGGTTGAGCTGGAATAATAACAATCAGATTACAATTATCCCCTGTGCACATCACAGCTCTCGCCAATGCCTTCACCCATTGGAAACCTTGGAAACCTGAGCCACTTACATAACATTCACCTCACACTCTGCCCGTGGATTAAGGTCAGCTGCCTCTGCCAGGGGCTATCTGCAAAGTCCATCGAACAAACATTCATTCGCTTCACGACGAGCAACACACGGGGGGGTCTCGGCCAGCTTGCAAGTCTTTGCGTTATCCAATACTGTTCATGCCCATCTTTTACGTTATCTTAGCAAGCGGGGAAAACCTCCCACAGGTACCTGAGCTGGCAAAGGCTGGAAAAGACATTTTGGAGTGAAGAACTGTTTTGCAACAAACAAAAACTAAAAGCAATGTTTTGAAAATGCATATTTGATAGATTTATAGTACATTTGATAATATATCGTTCACGAACACACCCTTTAGCACACCCTGTGTAAACAAGGGTCTCTACTTTAAAAGAACCCCAGTAAAATAAGCACTCCATGACCCATTTTATTAACACCATTATTTTTTTCCCCCAATGTTTTAGATTGTTACTGCAGTTCTAAATTTGCTTGTCAGTATGGAAAGCTCTTTGGTCACAAATGCAACTATGAATTCACAAATCTAGGCAGAGATGAATGGGAAAATCCCTGAACCTAAAATTGGAAGGGCTCATGTAAACTTTTCCAAGGCAGGTGACAGGCACGGAATCCGTGTATATGGGAAGAAAACCCCTTCTATTTATGGATTTATGGACCTTCCCTATAAGGAACGGAACTACCCTACACTTCCAGCTGGGTTTCAAGCTGCTCCACTTCGTCTCTCAACGAGTGGCATCATATGTGCTTTGAATTCATCTTGCACCCCGATAGGTTGCTGGAAAAGATGGGAATAGCTCCCTGTATGTGCTAAAGGCAGTAGAGCTGCCTCAAAGAAGGCCGTTTGCTTCTTATTCTGCACACCTGCACCATCGTGCCAGAATCAATGTCTTGAGGTTATTGAAAAGTGGATTCGTCAAGCTGCCATTAGATGCAGAGGGCCACTCCGGTGTAATGCTGTGTTCAGCAAAAGCAGCCGTGTGTAATTGCAATGGGACAGCTTTCTGTGAGTGCTGATTATTTCACGGCTTTCAATACCTGTACTCTCCCCTTCCTACTTCAGATCAAGTGCAGGACTTTTAAACGTGTATCGATTGGCCTAGCGTGTGAAGCGTAGGTTGGCTAACATATCAGGACTCGGCGGGGATGACTTTACTGCGCACTACGGCACCATAAAGTTGTTTCATAAGAGGGAGGTGCACAGGGCTGTGGGGGAGGCCTACCCCAGTTCTGGTGAGAATTCTCTTTTTTTTTTTCCTCTGTAAATTTATAATGAAGTCCTGCCAGGCTTTTTAGTGATGATCCCTCGGTGGAATAAGAATGTTCAACAGGCAGGCGGGGGCGGTCTATTCTGAAAAACAAGGTCATGCCGATTCCCCCCCTCCTTCTGTCCCGGCACTTGGCATCAACAAAGGGATGTTATATAACTTCTATTTATAACCTACATGTTCTCTCACTGCAGGCAGAGGAGCGCGCCGGAGAGGGGGATTTAATGAGCTCTGAGGACTCTCGCGCCTTTCAGAGCTGGCATTAGCCAGCTTGTTTTGAAAAGCAGGAGCAAATGAAGCTGGCAGTTGTGGGTGGACGACCATTGTAGGTGGAATCATGGAAATGTCATTCACAATATTTCATTCCCAAGTTTTTCTTTCATTCCCCTCACTCCCTACCACCCTCCCTCTACAGGAAGTGCTTATGGACATTTCCTTGCCTTCCTCGCAGTCTAAAGGCATGAGCTAGTATATGACAACACTTCTGGCCTCTGAAGCACGACGCTTTGGTTTCCTATCACAGTTTTTGCCTCAGAGAAAGAGTAGTCGCTTTTTTCTCATCTTTTTTGCGCTTGGTGGTTTGAGAGACTAAAAACGTTATGTTCCTAATGGCACTAAGGATAACGGATTTGGTGACAGGTCTGACAGATGCAAAAGCAGGGCATTATGAAAAAAGAAAACTATATCAGTAACAGAAGTATCTGATGCCAGTTTTAAAAATAGTTCTCGCTGTTAACACTGTGAAGATGTCAATCACCATAACCTACAACCTTTTCCTGTAGCAGAGACATAAAGTCTTACG